AGTTCTCAAACATGGCCCTGTGTATCCGAGAGGAGAGTTTACAGCCTCTGGAGGTTACTAACGTTTGAAATGATGTCATGATTTGTCCTCTACGCAGGTCCACGGTCGACGGTAGCTTCATCTTTCTTTTGCCTTAATCGCTAAAGCTTTGAATGTACCATCCCGTGCATTCCTCCTCTACATGTACCATTTTAAGCCTTTTTTACTTTCCTCTTGTTGCAGATATCATTTCACTAATTTTTCAAAATGTTAGTGTAGCTGTGAAGCCTTTCATTTGTTTGTTTAATCTTTGTAACTGTTGTGAGATCAAAATCCAGCTGTTGGGTTGGTTTCACGAACACTGCCTGACTTATTTTGGACGACCTTGTATAAAGCTGTGTGACATGTACGCCGTTCATACTGATTCTGTTTGGGTCAAATAAGAATTTAAGTTTCTAAATGCTGGATTGTGCTTTTCGTGAACGAAGGAGGTTAAAAAAAAAAGGAAAAAAGACACATCCCAGTAATATTTGACCTGCCTTTGTGAAGTCGAATCATTTCAAGTGGAAATTTGCATTTTGTGTGTGTGTGTGTTTTAAACAAGAAGCCAATAATTTGTGAGATTATGGTCGAGTTTAAAATAAAAATGTTGATCTTGCCGTTTTATTTCCCAAAGCGTGGTGTGATGTTTTGGTCTGTTTTCTGTCCATCAGCATTATTTTATTTATTTATTTATTTTGGGGCTGTTCATCGCCTTCAGACAGTTTACGTGACTAAAGGAAGATTCATCAGTTATCTGTTCATTACAAAATGCTGCTGCTCCACTCTCACCAGTCCTGTTTATGACTGCACTGGTGCACTATGCACCCGAGTCATGCCGGAGCAAAGGTAGTATGTGTAGTGACAGATGAGTCATTCCAAACTATGGAAGCAATACCAGCAGACATTAGAATATTCAGCTTGGCACAAAGCAATGGGCGCTACATTTAAAGGGACAGTTTACTAAGAAAAAATATCAGCGAGCTTATTTTGATCTGTTTGTTGTAGCAATTAGTTTCCCCCTACCGAACTACACCTGCAAACTATATACACGGGATGTAAAAATTAATGGTCTTCCCCCTTGCTGAGCTCTTTTGTTAGCCAGCTGTCAGCAGATGTAGACAGAAAGAAAATAGTTCCTGCGTGAAACTGACAACAACAAGGCTTTGAATGTTTTGGGGGAAGGAACGCTTCCTGGATGCAAATTGTTTTGCTTCATCTCTGAAAGGGAAGATCTCCATGGCGCTTTTATTATTTTTGTGTTTGACCTTAAAAATCACAACTTTTAAACAAGTTGGGAAGCTGTGTAAATGTAAATACAAACAGAATGGTTTGGTAATCTCATAAACTCATATTTTGTTCACCAGAAAACAAGAAATGTTTAAACTAAGAAAATTTACCTTTTTAAGAAAACATTAGGTAGTTTTGAGGTAATCTCAAAAAATTGGCCCACGGCTTTTTTTTTTTTTTTACCACTTTGTAGCATCCTCTCTTCTTTTAACTACAGTCTGTAAAAACCTGGGAACTGACTGATTGGTGTAGGAGTCTAGAAACTCGACTGTCCTGGGTCTTCTTTGTTGTATTTCTTATTTCATGGTGTGTCAAATGTTTCCAGTTGGTGAAGGTGAAAGGTCTGGACTGCAGGCTTCTACTATAAAGCTATGCTGTTAAAATAGATGCAGTATGAGGTTTATACAATCAGAAATGCAGCTTTTGAACTAAACACTGATTCATGTTTTCTGAAAAGGAATTCAAAATTTCGACTCTCCCGACCACAGAACAGACCAGTTTGCCTCAGTCTAGTTTAAATTATCTTTGGCTCACAGAAGACGACAGCATTTCTGGATCATGTTCATATTTGGCTTCTTCTTTGCACGATGGAGCTATAACCTGCATTTGTAGATGGTGAGGAGAACTGAGTTCACAGACATGCCTGCTTTTTAATGCAATACCGCCCAATGGCCTGAATATTATAGACATCCTAAGCTGATTTTCAGCCTTGTGCACACAGAGACTTTTTGTGCTATTATGTCTTTACAGTTTTACACTGGGGGACATTATTCTAACTTGTAGGTGCAGTTTAGTGCAGACTGGTGAAACTCTGCCCATCTATACTTCTGAGAAACTGCCTCTCTCAGATGCTCTGCGTATACCCGGTGTTACTGACAACTGGGTATAGTTTAGTTAATGTTAGTCTTACTTTTTTAGCCTTTCGTTGCCCTGTCCAAACTTTTTTGAGATGTGCTGCTGGCATCAATTCAAAAACCCCCCCCAAAAAACCTTTTCTATGTTCAATTGTGAATGTTAACAGAAAGCCCACAATATTTATCACATTTAAATCAAAATTACAAAAGCAACACACGACAGGATCGATCACAAATAACAGGAATGCCTCTCTAGAAAGAGGTTTGTTTCTTTTTAAAAATAATAGTAAATAGTTAATTGTGTGTTCTGCTATTTTGCAAACACCTTTTTGTTCTCCCAGCGGAAAATCTTCCCATAGAAACTTTAGCTTATAAAGTGATTGCACTGGAATTATGACCTCATTGTGTTTGGGGGTGTCTGGTTGAAGATGACTGCACAGGAGTGGAGAACCTCAGAAAACTGATTAATGGTGGTTCAAGAAGAGTCTGCCTCAGTACACCATCACTCACAATGATACTCCAGTTTCTACTAGTTATTTATTTATGATTGTATGAATGAGTGGATGAGTCCAAACCTTTGACTTTCATAAGAGTAATCCTTTGTCTGTCATCTCTCCGTACACACAGACAAACAGGTGACACGACAAAGGCGTGTTAACCAAAGGGAAGCTTTTATGTTTATAAATTACAGACCCAGACAGACTCCTACACCTGGTCCAGGTTTTAAAAATTCCTACTTTAGGAGAATCACTGGTGGAATTTTCCACTCTCACCCGAGGTGGGAGATTCCTGTTGGTGAAAGGACAACCAAAAGAGCCATTGTTTAAGCTGAAAGGTGCTTGAGGTTTTTTTTTTGTTTTTTTTTAAAGGTAAACTTAAAAAAACAAAAGTGCCTTGGAATTCTTTGATCGTACAACAAGGATTTTTGGATTAAGCAGGTAGCTATCCATATATATAGTTGTGTAGATCCATTAAATTCAAGAAAAGGCATATTTCCACAGTCGATATCTCAAAAAATGGACCATCTGAAGGTAAAAAAAAAAAGAACTACAGGTGAAAAATATGTGAGCATTATTTATGCCTTTTTTACTGCCATTTTAAGAATAAAATCTTAGCTTAGAGAACAGATTTATTTGTGACATACAGCCTTTTTAACAGAAAACAGCGTTTAAAAATAATTGTTTTTCGTTTCCATCTGTGTGCCATTGCAACATTAGTTTACACACACACACACACACACACAGAAATGCTGTTAAGATAGCAGTGGAGTCTGTTAATATGAGGAGCAAAGGGATGAGCGTGCATTTGGATACAGTAATAATGAACAGGTGGGGCTATTATGAAAAAACAGCTGTGATTTTAAACTAGAAAATGCAAAACAACCTGATGACTTCATGGCTGTGGGATGAGGTAATTCACTGCAAGACTCACGAATAGAAACCAGGCTGTAGTTCACAAAAACACCCAAACAGAAGATTTTTGGGACAATCTTCCATAGTGTAAAGCATCACAGATGTCCTAAACCTTTGACCAAAGCAACCAAAAAACCGTTCAGACTGAAGAAGTTGGATACATTTCTGAAACATTAGCTAGAGGCTGATTTATCAGGACTACAACTTTATTGAGATATGCACCATGAACACGATGAGGATGAGAAAGGGGGGGGGGGGGAATGGCTGTGTTAAGGGTGTGTAGCAGGACGGGTACTTTTTTGTTTCTGAGCAAATATCTCCATACTGTCAGCTGGAAGCAACATCAGACTGCAGCACATGAAAAATTGACTCAGTGAGTATTATGCAGTCATAATTATTATGCATAATAATGCATAATTATTCAGTTCAATTATGCATATATTATGCATAATTGAAGCTGCTGGAACAGTGAGGTGCTGATGAGAGAGAGTAGAAAGCAGAGGAGAGCTAGTGAATAAGGAAGTGCAGCGGATTACTATGGAGAAGGAGAGGGCAGCTATGAAGAGGAAGGAGAGTGGAACAGCGCTCGGTTGAGATGACATACCTGTAGAGATGTCTAGGAGAGAGGGCAGTGGAATTTTTAACTAGTCTGTTTAATAGTCTTGGAGAGTGAGAGGATGCATGAAAACCCATGCCATGAAGAGATGAGAAAGAGTTAAGAAAAGTGGTGATGATCAATGAGGAGCACTATGACTTAATGCTGAGAAAGAGCGTTGAGTGTGTTGATATTTGAGGACTGTGGAGAAAGCTTATATTAGGATGCCAAGACAGGAACTGTGGTACTGCATGAGGAAGGTGGGAGAGAGCCCGGAGAGATGGAGGTATGAAGTTAGTAGAAGCAAGATAGAATATGTGTGTGTGCATGAAAAAGCGACAGATGGAAAGCTGAAGCTGCGAGGAGCAGAAGTAGTGAAGGTGGATCAGTTTAAATATCTGGGTTTAATGCAATGCAATGGACAGCTTGCAAGAGAGGTGAAGGGCCGAGTGCTAGGGTGGAGTGCGTGGAGACGAGTGTCAGTGGTGATTTGTGACAGAAGAATAGTTACAACAATGAAGGTGAAAGTTTCTAGGATGGTAGCGAGACCTGCTATGAGGTATGGCACGGAGAGGCCTGGCCTTCTGTTTCTGTACAGGCCACGCCTCTGTATTCAGGTGAATAAATTAGCCTGTGAAGGGAAATGTGTTTGTTATGAAAAAGGAAATTTTTTGTTGTAAATTTGAGGCTGTAAACATGCTTTTTATGCTGTAAAATTGGGCATGTTAACATTTAGAGATCGAACTATTCTGAAGACAGCTCCTCAAGTGTTCACTAGAGGAACTGCAGCTTTTCAGCTCTGGAATAAAGGTTGATTAGCTGAACACGTGACTTTTTAGTAGAGACCGTAAAGATTAATAATAAAGATAAATACTCTAACTTTGATTAGAACCCCGATACAATAACGCTTTGAGAGAGGGCGGGGATGTTGACGTTTCTCGGGCGGAGTGATACTTCTGCACTGTTTAAACAGTGGAAGAGCACCTGGCCTCACCTGTCTGGAACTTTGTTTCCGCTTGCGGGAAACGGCAAAACTGGCGACTTTTAAACGAAATTACGGATTGTCTCAGTGATGTGACCGGATTTAAAAACAGGTAAATCAACCGTTAACTTTTTTAAAAGATATATTTTAAAACCCGGTGCGGCGAAGAATCAACGGGCTGAGTCGTACTAAATATAGAGTTGCTAAACAAGTTCTGGCTGAAGCTACTTTTTCTTTCACGGGCTTCTAAAGTTACTCTACAGTGCATTTAAAGGCCCAGAAACGTCTCTGTGACACCTTAAGCCTTCACAGCAAACTCTAGACAATAAACTTGATCAACAGTGACCTGTTTTTTTTTTTTAAAGTGAAATACCGATAATGTGGACCGGTCGTCCAGAAGCAGAAGTATTTCCTGAGAAATCGCAGCGGCTGCCTCACATATTTTAATGCGTGTACAGCTTTGAGCACTCCTATCTCATTTTCTTAAATGTTTAAGAAAACAAAACATTTGATAACACATTAGATCTTTTTTTCTAACGACTTTGCACGATATTTTCAATCCTGAACAGCTCAAATCAGATTAATGGACGATGCAGCTGATTCTTGGTTGAGGCCTCAAAGTGGTGAAATGCCATCAGAACTGCTTTAGTTCTCAATGTCATAGATTCAAAGAGGTGCTGGAAACGTTCTTCAGAGATGTTGCTTCATGTTGATATGATTGCATCACACAGTTGCTGCAGATTTGTGAGCTGCGCATCCATTATGGGTCTGCTGTTCCACCACATGTCAGAGGTGCTCTGTTAGGTTGAGATCTAGTAACTGTCAGTGCAGTGAATTCATTATCATGTTCAAGAAACCAGTTTGAGATGATTTCAGCTTTGTGACGTGGCACGTTATCCTACTAGAAGCAACTATCAGCAGATGGGTACATTGGTCTCAAAGAGAGATGGTTAGCAACAGTACTCAGGTTGGTACTAAGGGGTCCAAAATATACCACAAGAATGTCCCCTAAATTGTTACATCACAAGCAGCCTGAAATGCTGATACAAGGCAGGATGGAGCCATGCTTTCACATTTCTGCCAAATTCTGATCGTACAATCAGAATGTTGCAGTAGAAATTGAGACTCAAAATAAAATGTTATTTGTATAGGACATTTTCAGAAGAATCTCAAGCAACAATAAAATGAATCAAATACAAGTTTAAAAAGAAGCATTTTTAGCTGCTTGTTAAAAGGGATCAAATCCATTGATCAGAGGCTCAGAAGGATGTAATTGCAGATCTGGGGGCCACTGTTAAAAAAGCTCTCAGCCTTGTGTGATGCGGGCCCTGATCACTTGACCTCCAGGACCTTGCTGGGAATGCAAGGATGTAAAAGTTCGCTGATGTAACCTGAAGTTTGTCTGTGCAGAGCTCTAAAAGTCAAAGCCAGATCCTCTAAAGATAATGGGGAGTCAAGGCGATTGAATTAACAATGTTGTGAAGTGGGAGCACTCAGGAGATTTAGAAGATAACCTATAGAAGTTTCAAGGAAGCTTTCTTAAGACAAGTGAACAATGAATTGCAGTAATCCAAATGTGATGAAATAAAGGTGTGAATAACGATTTTCCCTTCAGAGTGTGACTCAATGAAACTGAACTTGGTAATATTTCTCAAGTAGAATCCAAGAGTGAACCAGAGATTTAACGTAAGCATTCAAAGTAAAGGCCGAGTCAGAAGTTACACCTGAGAGAAGATTTAGCTAACGTGGCAGAGGATCAAAAATGTCCATAACCTTAGATACAAATGTTTCAAAGCACAAAAAAAGGCTTCTGTTTTTGCTTCATTAAGTAGAAGAAAATTGTCAAACATCAAACTTTTAATATTTTCTAAATCCAAGAGTAACTATACAACTTAGAAAAATCTTGGGGCTTAAAGGAGGCATACAAATGAACGTCATCTGCATAGAATGATCCAAAAAAGTACTTAATAGTGCTCAAACTGTGCTGAAGAGGGACGGAAACAGCCTTCTGGTACACCGTAGGCAGGAGAATAGGACCTAGACTTGGAAGCAGTCATGGGAAAGGACCATTCAGGCAGAAGTGATCAGAGTCATTTCAAACCAGGCCACGATACGCCCACCCAGTATCTCAGTTAACTGAGCAAAAAGTGATCGTCAACATTTCTGAAGGTAGACATCAGCAGAACAGATCAATCTCCTGCATGATTGATCCGGGGCTGGGTGGCGGGGGGCAGCACCTCCCTCTACCCTGCCACCTCCTCCTGCTTGTCCTTGGGAACACCAAGACATTCCCAGCAGTGGAACCTGGTGTGGCCTTCTGCTGCTGTAGCCAATCTGCTTCAAGTGTTGTGCTGTGTATTCAAAGATCCTCTTCTGCATGTCTTGGTTGTAACAAGTGGTTGTTTGAGTTACTGTTACCTTCCTATCAGCTCAAAGCAGTGCGGTAGTTGCTGGTGAAGTTGCTGCCATGTGATTAGCTGATTAAATATTTGCATTAAAGATAAATTCAACAAGCTAACAAAGTGGCCTTTGAGTGTACATCGTGATCTCCTAATAATTTTCCCGTTCACCCTCTGGATTAGTCGTTTATTGCATTTGTGACTCAGACACGTAGTGATTCATGTATTAATCCTGTCACATAAATCAGAGCTGCAGTAACATGTTGTATGCACAGTGCTGGTATGTGTGACGACAGAGTGAGCCATATCTGGTAACACGCCCATGATAAACGGTGAACTTTGATGTTTTTATGAAGCTCAAGTTGAAGCAGGCTGCTGCTTCAAGCATCGTTATAATGTTTTGTTCCCTCTCTCACAGAGAAATGCGAACAAAGAGGACTTTTAGGAGCTGGTAACAACAGATTCTCAGCAGTGCAGCTGGTATTGACTGGAAGTAAAGAAACACCAAGAATGGCTGACCTAATCAACAACACAAGTGAGGAGCTGGCATTTTCACCTGCTGCTTCAACTGCAGAGCCACAAACGCCAGTAAGTAAAAAGCCACAAGAACACAACGGCTTGGAGGACAAAAGAAAGCTTACAGATGATGAGGAGGAGGAGGAGGAGGAAGAAGAAGAAGAAGATGATGATGCGACCAGCTCTGCTTTTCTGGAGCCAAGCACTTTACCGTGGTCGGCAGGCAGAAACAGCAGAGCCCTTACAGAGCAGGATGAGGGAATCTCGTCAGAAAAAGGAGGATCAGAGCTTGACGAGAGGGACACGGGAATCAGCAGAGGGAGCCAGGACCTGTCAGAGGAGCAGAGCCAGGAAGAGAGCGATGTGAAGAGCAAGACCAAATGGAGGGAGAGCATGCCCGAGGGGGAGAGGTGGAGGGACGATGAGATTAAGGTGAAGCAGGGTGATAAAGAGGACGGCTCCCTCGCCGATGATGAGGATGAGGAAGAGGAAGACGAAGGGGGATTAACATGGGTCTCGGAAAAATCATCTCCAGGTTTCACGCCACAAGTCACGATTTTGAATCACTCCACGAAAGAGGTTCCCGAGGTGAGCAGGCCACTCGGAGAGAAGGAGGTGGAGCCGGAGATAGAGCACGACTCCGTTGTAGAATTTTACCCGGAGTGGACAACCAATGACGACAAGTACTGTGAGTATCCCGACCAACCCAGACTCTGCTACACCCAGCCCACTTTTTTTATTAGCATTAATAAGGACCTACTCCTTGCACCGCTGAAATCTTAGTGCTTAGTGCTCTTATTCTGAAAAGTTGTTTCATTTTTGTTTTCAAAGTATTTAAAACTCCATCACAGTCATGAGGTGAGCAGCCAAAGTTGGCACACAGGCACATATCATTGATATCAGGTATTACGATGTCATCGCATTCCTTAACAACCTACTAACTGGCTGAAACAGCCTATTTGTGGCTTTTACGCACCTAGCACACCTTACAAAAAGAACAGTATTTTAATTTCACACCAATAAAATCTTGAATTGTGCTATATAGTACTCTTTTTAGTACGCTTGGATCTGTCTTTATATGGTTACCTGAGACTCGAGGCTCTACTTGATAGCACAGAAGCTCCACCTTCATGAGGGGCTGCCAATCAGAAGAGGAGCTTGTTTCACACAGTGGGTGAACTGAGGAGCTGCATCAAGACTAAGTATGAGAGAAATCAGGAAGTGTGACTCATGCAAAGTTACTCTATTAAAGTCAAAGAATAAAAATATGGAGTAGTAATTGAGGATAATAGGTCCGCTTTAATTTGATGATCTAATCACATGTTGGTTCTGTTCCAAGTAGGTTAGCGTGTTTTCTGGAGCGCATTTTCCCCCAGTGAGAAAGTCATTGGTGACCCGACCTAGATCTCCCTTTTTTTTTTTGGTGCTTAACTGGAATTAATGACACGTAATTATGTCTTTAGGTGAATCATGCTGTGGCTTCAGGATATGTTGTGTCATCTTTTTTGGCACAGTCTCCTTCCTGCAGAGTTACTTTGGCTAATCCTAAACCGTAACTGTGTTCTTCCTCCTCAGACCTGTGTGAGCATATCTGCAAGGAGAAACTGAGGGTGGTTTTGGCGATGGTAGCTGCAGCAATACTTTTCCCTTTCCTGGTGTGGGGTGGTTACGCCTTAATACCTTTTGATTCGCCAAAGCTTGAAAGCGCCCCCCTCAGGGTGGTGTACACACTGCGCTGCGCCTTTTTTGCCAGCGTGCCCATCCTGCTCGGTGAGACTTTAGTGTTTTCCTGTGTTTAAAATTGTAATGCACCAAAGCAAATCTGTCATGCAAATAAGAAAATGAGGTGACTATGATCTTTCTCTGCAGGCGTGGTGGTGCAGGGCCTCGCCCGGCTGCGTTACAGCGCGGTCAAGCCCCTCGTTCAGAGTAACCTGTTGAACATACAAGTGGCCGTGCACTGGCACTACGTCAATGAATCGCTCGGCCTCTTCCTCTTCTACTTCCTGCAGCTTGCTGTCATGGCAACCTACATCAGCCAGGACCTCATCAAACTGGTGCCGCTGCTTACCATCGTATTTGTTTTTGGCAGGTACGTGTTTGTGTGCGTGTTGTCAGCAACTGGTAGTTCAGTGATACCTACTGAATGACACTCTCATAAGACTCATCTCTCATAAGACTTTTCAGACTATCTAAACATGGAGCACAGCAATGATTAAGTAAAGGAGGGTTCTGTGTCAAGCCTGCATTGGTGCTCTCTGGGTACTCAAGCGCCAGAGATATTAATTTTGTGTTAAAGTGTGATTGTGATGCTGGCCAGCGGTGTGAATGTGAGAGTTTTTACTTGCATCTGTCTAGGATGTACCCTGCTTCTTGCTCACTGTCAGCTGGTATAGGGTCATCTTCCCTTAGCCCAAATTAGATAAATGGTAAAGAAAATGCTGATATAGATGGAATTTTATGGATGGAATGATTTTCCAACTTCCTAACAGACCGTGCAGAAGCTCAAAGAATCCCAAACAAATACAGAGGGAGATGTTTTAAGAGCTTGAAAAGATTAGACTTTCCAAAGAAAATGTCATGTATTTCTGTTTCTGGTCTATACTTGCATCGCTGTACCAGTGCTGCTGCAGAGGTACAGTGGAGATAAATTATACGTTTGTGGTGATGTCACTGTTTGCGTGCAACATGGTCACTCTTGTGTGACCTCATCAGAAGCTCGAATGTCCTCAGCAACACTAATATCAGGAGGGACTAGGACCTCTGGTATAATAAGCTGACATGGTGTCACACCTCTTCTCTGCTTCTATAGCAAGGAGGCTGTCTGGTGAAAGGCTCACTCATGGTACTCAGAGAACCGGGGTTATATACATAACCTTAAAGTTCTGGTCTTTTACATGTGTTGATGGGCAGGTTTTGTCTGAGTCACAAAAGTAAATTAAGGAAATTAGTGCAAGTTTTGCATGTCCTCAGTACCAGTATAGGTGGTCACATCATTGTGCTTGACAAAACCAGTGTGTCGATCATAATAGGCTCGTATGATTGGAGTTTAACCATGCATTGCATTAACTTTTGATAATTTGTGCCAAGTAAGGGAATCATCAGCAGTTTTTGAAGGATTGTTTAAAAAAAAAACAAAAAAAAAACTCAACTAAAAGTTTGTCCAGATGTCCGCACGTCATAATGACCAAACCTATTACAGTTCATGCTAAGGGGGAGGGTTGATGACAACACTGTTGCAGTTACTTTACTAAAATCCAGGAGCTGTTGTACGTCAGTACGATTTATCCTCCATTAGCTATGATTGTCCCTATACAATGATCTGAATCCATGAAAGTTTTGTCTGTGATAAAGTTTTAAACCTGTTCGACTGTCACAGTCGTCTCTGTGAAACCTGGGAAAGGTGCTGAGCAGACAAAAGTCCAACTAAAGCTGCAAAGTCAGCGTGCTCAGAGTCCGTCATTACTACGACTTCACTAGACTGACTAGGTCAAATTTCTGTGAGACAGAAAGTGCGGCTGTAGTGAGTGTTTTTTAAAAAGCTTTTAATGTGATTACTCCTCTGATCTTTAGGTCTACAACAGTGAACTCTAATCCCTTTAAAATGCTGCTTGATGCTTTAATTGGTTTTTATTTGGTTGCACATTAGCTCCACAAGTATGAGATAAAGACTGTGAAACCATTACTTTCAAATTGTACTGTGCAAGAACAGATAATCATCTTCACTTGTAAAAAAACAAACTGTTTTTGTGTCCCAGTTAAATGAATAAATGAGGAGAAGCTGAAGAACAAAGTTTCTTTTCAAACTTTAAAGAATCATCAGACCAAAAAGCCTTTTTAACAGCCTTTTAAATAAAGTTTCACTCTTTGTTCAGTCAGTGGCTGAACAAACAAACATGACCCCTCGATCAGTTTTACTAAATTGAATACAGTGAAACTATTTGCATGCTCGAGCACGATTAAAACAAGATATATTATCTAAACCACAGAGAGGGTGAATAACTTGTTATATAACCTGTTACTTCCTGCTGTTTCTCTGTTGGACTCGTCATGCCTCTAACTGCTTTCCTGCCTTTCATCATCTGGTTCAACTGGGGATTTGCCCTAAACCTGTCTGATCACCCGTACTGCTGCAGTTACTTTATCCACAGTTTAAAGCTTGCATGCAAAAGAAAAACATCTGCAGTGGGGACATCACAGTGCCGCCTGCTTACAAAAAACAGTGAGCCAGTCGTATCGATCCCTGGTTCAAAGAGTGTGCTGTGGGACTCTGAAAACTAGTGATAAGTCAAGGGTAGCTCATGGTTTATTTCTCAAAAATTGCAGTCTGAAATTGCACTCAAAGATTATTTTTTTTAGTTTTTTTTACCTTTGTGCACGTCATTATATTTTGGGTAATCTGCATAAACCAGGGGTGGGCAACTCCTGGCCTCAAGGACCGGTGACCTGTAGGTTTTAGATGTGTCCTTGAGCCAACACAGTTCCAACTGTGATTTAAATGGCTAAATTACTTCCTCAACATGTCTTGAAGTTCTCCAGAGGCCTGGTAATGAACTTATCATTCGATTCAGTTGTATTGACCCAGGGTGATAACTAAAACCTGTATGACCACCGGCCCTTGAGGCCTGGAGTTCCCCACCCCTGGTATAACCAATTAGGAGCAACATACAGTGGCTTGCAAAAGTATTCGGCTCCCTTGAACTTTTCCACATTTTCTCACATTACAGCCACAAACATGAATCAATTTTATTTGAATTCCACTTTAAAGACCGATACAAAGTGGTGTACATGTAAGAAGTGGAACGAAAATCACACATGATTCCAAACATCTTTTACAAATAACTGAAAAGTGGCGAGTGCGTAATTATTCAGCTCCCTGAGTCAATACTTTGTAGAACCACCTTTTGCTGCAATTACAGCTGCCAGTCTTTTAGGGTCTGTCTCTACCAGCTCTGCACATCTAGAGACTGAAATCCTTGCCCATTCTTCTTTGCAAAACAGCTCCAGCTCAGTCAGATTAGATGGACAGCGTTTGTGAACAGCAGTTTTCAGATCTTGCCACAGATTCTTGGTTGGATTTAGATCTGGACTTTGACTGGGCCATTCTAACACATGGATATGTTTTGTGTTAAACCATTCCATTGTTGCCCTGGCTTTATGTTTAGGGTCGTTGTCCTGCTGGAAGGTGAACCTCCGCCCCAGTCTCAAGTCTTTTGCAGACTCCAAGAGGTTTTCTTCCAGGATTGCCCTGTATTTGGCTCCATCCATCTTCCCATCAACTCTGACCAGCTTCACTGTCCCTGTTGAAGAGAAGCACCCCCAGAGCATGATGCTGCCACCACCATATTTGACAGTGGGGATGGTGTGTTCAGAGTGATGTGCAGTGATAGTTTTCCGCCACACGTAGGGTTTTGCATTTTGGCCTAAAAGTTCCATTTTGGTCTCATCTGATCAGAGCACCTTTTTCCACATGTTTGCTGTGTCCCCCACATGGCTTGTGGCAAACTGCAAACGGGACTTCTTATGGTTTTCTGTTAACAATGGCTTTCTTCTTGCCACTCTTCCATAAAGGCCAACTTTGTGCAATGCACAACTAATAGTTGTCCTATGGACAGATTCCCCCACCTGAGCTGTAGATCTTTGCAGCTCGTCCAGAGTCACCATGGGCCTCTTGGCTGCATTTCTGATCAGTGCTCTCCTTGTTCGGCCTGTGAGTTTAGGTGGACGGCCTTGTCTTGGTAAGTTATACTTTTGCAAGCCACTGCATTTGGCATCAGAAGCTCTCTGGTTCCCATTTGTAGCCAATGTTCTGTTAACCTGTTACATCTGAGCATTCATAAATGGGCGGTGTGGAATAGATTTTAGCATTTTATAAACCAGATTTAATAGGTAACAGCTGATTTAGACTTCTGCAGCGAGTCTTCGTTGAGCTGATGATGTCACCTACACACGTGGACAAGCTTCGAGGCTACGTTCTGCTTTTCATAAGCAGTCTGCTGCCAGCCGATTTTAAAAACTGCTGTAATAATGAATACATTTAATTTCCAACTCGGGCTGAGAGCTCTGAGACGATAATTAATTCTTCCTATACCACAGCACTTTGAGCTACATACTGAAAAATAAGGCCTCAAATCTCCAGTACTCCATCACATTGTGCCCTGAAAAAGATCTGACAGTCTCGAAAACACGATGACAGAAAATTAGGACACTTTAAAAAAAAAAAAAAAAAAAAAAAGCCTCTATTAGGCCATTAGTGCAGCTTTGAGTCATCAAGCACTCGATACAAAAACAGATGAAAAGGATAAAGGAGCTGCGCTGTCTAATGTTCCTGCTGAAAGGAGAGAGTGGGTGTGTGGGCTGATGCGGGCAGTGATCAGATCTTCTCTCAGTATTGTGTCCAGCTGCTGGTGACTGTGCTTCAAACAGAAATGAGTCTCATCCCCCTCTCGTTGCAGGCTGATCTACTGGCTCTGCCTCTCCCTGGGCAGCAGCGCCAGAGGCTTCGGCTTCGGCTTCTCCTTCTTCCCCATACTAGTCATGCTGGGCACCAACCTCTACTTCGTGTGCTCGTCGATGGGACAAGACGGCGTCTTTGACGTGGCGCTGCCCACCTCTGCTCCTCCACCCAGGCAGCGCTGGTGGGGTTAAAAGGGCGTGGAGCAGAAAGAGACAATGAAACCTGTAATATAATACTTGGAGTATAACGATACAGTTTTTGCTCACAGACAGCTCGTTCTGTCCTGGTGGGTCCAAGTTTTAATAAAGAAGTCATCTGCTGATGAATTAAATATGCTTTATGATCATTGATCAGCAGTGTTGTGTAAAAATATATATATTTTTGTATTTTGATGCAGTTCATCATACGGGGCTGTTAATCAGTGACTTCATGAAAAGCTAAAGGATCACGACTTAGTGCGAAATGTTTCCTCGGACCTTTTTCTGTTTACAAAGAATTCAAACATACGAGCTCGTTATGTTGTGGGTGAAGAAAGTGACTTTAAAAACCGGAGCGTCAAAATCATCAAAATCAGAAACATTTAATCAACCGTCCAATCATAAAACATATGACTCTGTACAGTTGTCTTTTTTTTTGTTTTTGAACTTCGCTTTGAGCAGACTGACGTAGACGATCCGGTTTATATAGATTTAACATTTTGGACGCCCTCATGAGACGATCCGTTCTTAGTGAGCTACAACTCTGTGGTCTCATGTTTTGTGCTGATGTAGTACTTTTTTGTATGTTTGTATATCTACTTGTTATTTTTTCACTTTAGGTCATATTTAGTGATTTAAACTTTAAAATACACAAATTAAAACAAAATCTGAACTCTCGACATAAGAGAATTAAAAGATTTTCAAATCATTGTCTTTCACTTATTTGTTTATTTTCACACTGCTGCTGCCAGCTGTGTGGCTTCTTAAACTTAATATTTATAACTGTGCCTGTTAAATGCACCTTTGTTGTTTTGATCAAAGGCTTTTCTTTGTTGATAGCAGCACAAAGTGAAATGCTATTTTTGGATTGTCCTTTTTTTTTTTTGTGTCCAAAGGATGTTTTGTGTTTACCCCCCCTCCTGCTGTGAGTGGTAAATATGTAAAGAAAATGTCAATATTTGGGCCCCTGAATGAGTTCAATGAATCTTCATTATGAAACATGATAACAGTGCAGCTGATGATTCAGATTAAAATGCCTCATTTCATCAATTCTGTCCGGGAAAGGGTGAGTCAATGTTCTGAGTTTTGGCAACATCAGAATGTAAAGCTGAAAAATGCCCCCAGTCCTGAAAAGCAGACTGCAGAGCCACGATCGCGGTGACCCGACGAAGCTCGAGGAGCGCCGTGAGTAACGCCGTATCAAAACCAGCAAACGGCGGACGTGAATGAACTCTGAGTCAGTGCCACAGGGTTGAAGTCCATTACTGCGTCTGCTATCAGAGGGATCGTGAACCCTCCACTTGCCCATCTTAACATTATCAATAGATTCAGTCCTTGTCTAACAGAGTCCCTCAAACATCCCAGAACTGTGGTGCCAACACAAAGCTGCTTTACATCTGTGTAACTTTATTTAAGCAGTCATTTATTGATTCATTTTCGAGCTAAAATTTGTGAGTTGCAATAAAATTGCACAATGTACTTTTCCTTAATCACAATACAAGGCTTGTCAGCATTGAAGGGTGGACATGAGCTGCTTGAATGTTCTCCCACACACACACACACACCTTTGCCTCTTTAGACATGTGTCTTGGTTGGTATGTTTGCTTTAGTTTCCCCAGCCTTTGTCATGTCATGCGTGTGCGTGTACACACCCATTATTCCATATCAAACTTTTCCATGTTGGGCTTGTTGTGATCTGTCCAGGAATCCCAGTAAACTCACAATCCGATCGGGAACTACCCTTGAAGGGAGTTTAGAGCCACCTTCATTTGCCGACTTGTTTTCTCTCTCTGCATTTTATTTATTTTCTTTTGTAAATTAGTAGAACTGACAAATGTTACTAAGGCTGTAGTCTGGTCAGGCGGTTACTTTGAGGATTGATCCAGCAGCAACAGCCTGCAGTGAAAAACATGTTTGTTTGTTTGTTCGCAGGTGTGGCTACGTTTTGTTTAAACTGATGACCAAGAAGTCGTGTAAATTATAGTCTGGATCTAAAGTCCTGCAACAGTAATTCAATTTTTATCTAATGCCACACTTGTTTGCATTAAAAACAGCTTTTATTTCTCTGCTTTTACCAGTTTCCCCCCCTGTGAAACATCAATGCAAACCCTTTAAATCACAATGAGTGAAGTCCATATACAATAACAGCGCCTTAAAAGATAATATTGGCTTTTTAGAAAAACTACAATTATTCATTCTTAAATCTCAGATGTTGTTGATGCACAGCTGCTGCTCACCTCCTCAGAGGTTGTGAGAGATGAGCTAAATTTGGCCGTCTGGTTATTGTCGAATGTGCGAATCGAACCTCCGTCTCACGTGTTTGTAACTGTGACAATAAGCAGAGGATGAAGAGGTGAAGGAAAAAAGGAAAGAGAGACACGTGAATGCACTAATGGACTGAATTCACAAAGATTTCTGGGTATTTCGCACCTCTTGCTGTGCCGCCACATGTTCCGGATGAGTCATTATAAAAGCACTTTTGCCCCCACCTCGACGCAGGAACAACAAAAAAAATGAATCACAGATCCAAATTCATTTCACTCAGTTTGTCTATTTAATATATAAAATACGGTAAAACATACGCAAAAAGGATAAGGTTTCAAGGGACTTGGATACTTTGGTACAACAAACACTTTTTTGTAAAAGCGGTATAGAATTTCAATAACATATCAGTGCATACTTTGTATATGAAAATATACACAAACTGTATATCATTCTCAAAAAAAACAACAAAAAAAGAAATATTTTCTTTACAACAAAACCCAAAGCAGACCAGCTCAACACAATATATTAGCTATAAATTTCATCTTTAGTATTTCATATGCTACATTATTCTGAGTTGTTTTAAAACTCATCTCTGATGCATGTCCTTATCATTACTGTACGTAACATATGTCATTGTTACCTGTATCCCATGCATTTACATGTTTCAAATTTCAGGATTTTACTAATTTCAGTTGTTTCCCGTTTTTATAAATATATTCTGTATCTTAATTAAAACTGCAGCATTTAACTGGTATTTCCTTCATTGCATTTGCTAATACCACAATAACTGATCGTGCAATTGTCAGCAAAGTTGCCTCAAAAAAGGAAACCAGTACTATATGTTTATGATACGGAAGAGAAAAATAAGAAAGAGGAAATTAAAAACAGTTGGCTATCCTACACAAAAAATAGCAATAAAATAAAAGCTCCATAATAATATCATTATAATAATAATAATAATAATAATAGACAATGGAACTGTCACCAGCACAAATTAATCCAAAAATAGTGAGATTCTAAAAAACATTGTACACAACAAGTAACAGGGGTGCAGGTGTTCATTTCTCATATAGATTGTCTTGTGACTACACTGCTAGATTGGACAGAGAACCTTTTTTTTTCCTTTTGTACATGAACAAAGCCAATCGGTGTGGTGTCACATTTCAGTCAAACATCAGCGCCCACAGAAACAAAGAGATGCCACTGAAGGTGAGTTTTTCTAAAAGTGGAAATGAGCGGGTGGTACGAGAGGAGATCGTTAGCTCTGTCTGCAGGAAGGCGGACACGCATCCCGAGTGTTCAAAAGGAATAGTTTGACATCTTGAAATTTCTTGATGGGATGTAGGCCGGAGAAGAGGCTCGATGCGACGGTCCAGCGGTCACACTCTGCCTGCCAGCACCTCTAAAGCTCACTCTGTCATTTTAACTTAAAAAAAAAAAAAAGTGCTGCATTAATTTTGAGATCTTGCATCTCAACTCTGAGATGTGCCGCGGCTTGTAGTTGTGTAATGTAAATGCCTGAGCTCGATACTTTTATAGTATTGTGAAAATGGATGCAGACGACGCATAACTGAGCTCGAGCTGACTTTATGGTCGTTAACACCAAGACATGTCAGGTGGAGACATCCAAATTTATTTATGTACATTTTATACAAGCGGGGGATAAAAACAACAAATTTAATTGAATTGATTTTAAGTGTGTAAAAATTATCCAAATGGTGACACAGGCCTGCAAACGGTTCAAGATTCTCACTTGGATTTACTGCACTTTAGGCCGATGCTTAAATAATACACGTAAAATGCTTTGATTGGTGACATATCTAATTTGCACACAGGTCCTCAAACAATCGAATCTAGACTCATATTGTGTATAAGGAGAAAAATGGGCACCCTTTTTTAATCCTGTAAGACCCAACCCATCAAAAAACAGCCAGAAAATTCTGATTTTTTTCAAACTGAGATGTTCATTAACCCTTAAAGCAAAATCAACAAAAAATGTTTTTGCTATATCATGTTGTGTATGATATATTTTGATTATATACTTGCTATATATTTCTTTGTATCGCGTTTGATACACTGGGTGTTTTTGGCAATTTTTTGTTAACAACAATGTCAATTTTAGACCAAAAAAAAAAGAGTTTTATCCATAAGTTTTTAAAATTATGGCAAGTATTGATCATGTTAATGAGATAGAGGTCTCAGAAACTCCTGTATTAAGGGCATTATAAGGTTAAGAGACACTAAAGATTACTGACAGCTTTCATGCTTGCATCACTTCCCGACTCTGACAAACTCTGGAGGGAATCACACATTATTCACTTTCTTTAGTGATTTTTGGGAAATTTGTATTTTAACGTTTGAATCTGAAGCTGTAAATAATGTAAATAATTCGCTTTCATAAATGCAGCATTAGAGGTAAGCATCAGGCGTGTTGGCTGGTGTTTTGTGTACATACTGACCACATAAGTAAAAGCACAGATCTCCTCGTTCTCACTCACTGTATAAGTATTCCTTTAAAAAAAACTTCTCCAATAAGCGCTCTTTGAAAGTGTTGGCTGTTAAATTGCTAACCGTGGCTGACTGAGAGGGGAAAGCAGCGCTAACCTGAAATCAGTGGAGTGAAAAACTACCCTCCACACATACTAGGAAAGATGATGATGATGATGACGATGAAATACCTCAGCAACGCCGCCGCTAGACGCGTCAGTCTTTTGGAGAAAATCCCACGCGGCCCCAATGTCTTTTTCCGACTCGCAGCATGAACCCAGAGTCGGCGTCAAACGCTGCTCACCTACACTGACGGAAAGGTGTAGGATTGTTTAAATAACAGCCAGTCTGCACTTTGAGCATCGTCTCCAGGGGAAAAAAAAAGGTAAAGTAATCGAGAGCAATAAACAGCCTGGGTTCACACACCAATACACACACTTGAAATGGTTCAACGAAAAACAGATTTGTTCAAGAAAAGCTACACTTAAACGTCAAACTTGGTTTTCCCGATGGGAAAAAAAAGAAATTGTCAGCTTACAGTGACGTGGAAAAGATTTTACACGAGTCCGTCAAAGTGTATTTTACCTCTCTACGCTAGAAGTGAATGGCAGTGTCCTGATAATAAGTTTATGTCACGGTGTAGGATTCTTTCTTTGATCGTGGGTTCTTTTCTTCAAAAGAAAGAAAGAAGAAGAACTGTGGCAAGCGAATATGATGACACCACAACCAAGCAGGCCTCTGTGAGTGAGAGACGGAAAGTGCACACACCATCGACACTAGAATAAAATAGGTTTAGTTGAAACACGTCCGATTCGCCGGCACCACCCAGCGCGGCGTAACCCCTGCACCTGTATCTCAAAACATATCAAATGCACACTCATATATGCAAACAGATCCACTGAGAATCAACACATTGCTTGTTTTTAGGGATACCTAGCAAAGTCTATGCAAATATATTCATATGTACATACACGTCGTTGAAGCCGAAAAGCTACTTTTACTTTGTCGCCAACTGAAGCGGTAGAAATATAGAAAAATGTCTTTTTCCTTTCACTTTTTCGAAACACAGCAAAGAGCTAAGGAGAGCTATAGAGAGCTAAAGAGGACATCAAAGCTTTTTTTGTATAAGGAGTGATTTTTATACAAAGTCGGAATTCCTACTTCTGGACGACTAACAGAGTTTTAAAATACCAACAGATAGAGAACACTTGGACTTAGAGAACCAAATACTTCCCTACTCCAAAAAATCAAATCAAATTAAAAAAAAAAAAAGAGCCAACAGAGGCTCAAAAAACTCTTACTATTGAATTTCACTTGGATGGCATCTACTCCTGCTAATAAGCTGAGTAACCGGCTGGATTTCCATCCGAGTTCCAGAGGAGATGAGGTGAGAGGACGGGAGGAGCACCCCAGTCTGTGAACAAAGTGACCGCCAATACAATTCAATGTTTCACGACAGTGCGAGCGATAGCATGTCCCTATAGAGAACAGGGGCATTTGGCATTTTGTTTGTTTCTCTTCTTTTATTTAAATCTCAAAGAGAAGTTGATATTGGCACTCTGGCGAGGTGCTCGACTCACACAGCTGCAGAGTGCCACCTGAGGGGCTCGGGGCCTGCCTGGTTGCATGAGGTCGTGGCAGCAGAGGCAAAAAAAAATAAAATAAATAAAAAATCCTTTGACACAGAAATATTGTTACCTAGAAAGACCTTTGCTTGAGTCTGTTTTGGTCAGTGCCAAAAATTGCTCAGTCTTTGTCCAGATAAAGTTATTTCCTTTAGTGCAGTTTGGAAGTGCCTTACAGGAGAATCAACAGCACGCAGCCTAAATAAACGCTGGATTCTGGAGAGCAGGAAGTGGCGAGTCGTGCGGCATTAGTCCCGTAATGTCGACAGGCCACGAGTCACATTGTATTAAAATGAAAGGAGGTCGATGTAAATACATGGAGGCGATACGGAAACCGTGTGAAAGAGAAATGTTTGTTTCGTGGTTTCACTTTAAACAACGTATTTCTACCAAAGAAGAAAAAGAAAAATATCAATATGTGGGAGTCCATTCAAGCAAGAAGGCTTTAAAAATCTACTGTCCCTCCATCCGAGGGGCTAAAATATCCAGCTGAGCTCGGAGCCGTCCATCAGGATTTTTATGCTTGTTTTTAATGGGGTTTTTGGCAAAGCCTCTGAAGTCTGAGTGACGCAGCTGAGTAATATAACTGTGTGTGATGATAGTGTCACATGACAGTGGGGTCGGGGAAGTGGTGGTGGGACTAAGAAAGAGTGTGGGTGCGTGTTGTGGGAGTCACCAAAACTTCACTGTGGGTGCAGAGAGAAGGTGTTGGTGCCTTTATGTGACCCAGGCATCCAATCTCATGCGCTTGATGTTTCCTCCCTCCTGGTCTTGTTCGTTCGACGCCCTGAGGAGCTCGGCCGACGGGCTGAAGTCGGGCGGCACGGACCGGCTGGTGGGACCTGCCGAGCTGCCACCTCCACCTCCGGTCCCACCGCCTCCTCCTCCCGCACCTGCAGTGCCACCTCCGGCTGCTCCAGCGTCGTCACGGTCGCTGCCTTCGAAGGAGCTGGCGTTGCTGCTTACGCTGTCTGCGGGCGAGCGGCCGGTCGGGGGCTCCAGGCATAGCAGGGAGCCGGGGTATTGAGGCGGAGCAGTCAGGATGGTACCTCCCGAGGTCGAGGATGGCGTGGTAGACGGAGGAGGGCAAGGGGTGCTGCGATCCCGGCCGGGCGAGATGGGCTCCGATTTGATGCTCACGCCGGAGCTTGTGTTGACGGTCAGCATGGCGCCTTGAGGGATGTTGGTCACCGGCCTGAGAATGGGGTCACAGAGGCAGAGGAAGAAAAATGGAAGGAAGACAAAGGGCAGAACAAAGAGGAAAAGCAAGAGACAATTTACAAATAATTAGCCACTTGACAAAAGGGAATATGGAAAAATTGGAAGACCACTCATGTGAAGACATAACCCACATTACGAAGCACAGCACCAACAGGGAAAAGCAACACTCCATTATTCCATAAAAACAATCAAATCTGAGCCTTTTAAAAGCAGGAGTTAAGATCCCAACTGCTCCCAAAAGATCAACAGAACAGCCGAAGAAGCGTGAAATGATTCGAGTGACAGGGTGGTTTGCAATGAGTCAGCTGTGACGGTGTAGAAACTCCAGAATGAGAAAACACAAAGTAATCTCGGGTTAGAGAACATGGCGGAAGCCGGAACTAAGTCTCTTTTCCTGTTTGACTGCAGACGGCACCAGACATGCTAAGAGAGCGAGGCAGCCAAAAGCGCACAGACACACAGGAAAAAGGAAGTGTGATACAGTACCGGCCCAACCACTCATCTCTACCCAAGAGCAGGTTGGACGGAGAGCCAACACTGTGGGAAGAAAACAAAATGTTGGAGCCCAAACCAAAGGGAACAGGTGGACGAGAAGGCATGTGTGGAGAGAGGTGTGAAACATTATTGCGGGCAACGTTTTCTTTTCAACAACAGCAATAATGTTCATAATGTTTTGGAAGCAAGAGCACAACAAAACCCATAAGAAAATCTTGTTTTCTGATCTACAAATACACAATACACAATGTGTGGAGCGTTTATGCAGGAATTCACGTGTTAATCGGAAAACCTGAGTGTGGACGGTGGCCCTAAAGAAGTAACAGAGTACAAGATTGAATGCAAAAACATGGACAAAGTTCTTTTCTTCAAAGCTTGAGAGTGGCGAACATGATGGCATGTAAATCACATGGTACAAATTATTACTTTTAATGTTTGTGCCTTTTGTCCAATTGCTGCTTCAGTTTTTGCAGCTTTTTGTTTGATCCTTAAGGGCCACCGTATCCATGTATGTTTAAATTTAAAAAAAAAAGATATATAAATGATCAGTTTAAGTAAATATCTATTGGCCTAATTTGGAAATACACTGTGAAAACAATTAGGTAAAATACCTATGTCACCCCTCATTTCTTTATATTTTGCTTCCAAGTAGAAAGACATTAATGTATTTTGATCTTGAACAGTAGTTTTCCAGGATTTCTGAAGTTCCTTCCAAGTGTTTCTTTGGAAATTGGTTGTTTTTTCACTCATTACCGGTCCAATCCTTGTACCTGAGCATTTTTTGTTTTGTTTTGTTTGTTAAACCACTTAACACTGACCTGTGAATCATTCAAGCATAAGAAAGCCCCTAAATGTTTTCTATGCATAACAGACAACTAAGCAAAGAACCAATTAGAAGTGTATTTTTTAGAGACGTCGTTACCAGCTGCCTGTCACAAAAACAGAGTTTGTTCCGATTTCTTAAGTGTGACAGATGCTCTGTCATGGTTTGGGCCTTCTTTGATGTTGAGGATCATGTCAAAATTGATGATGAACACACAAAACATGCAGTTTTTTGCCTTATGTACTCTTTTCCCATTCGGGTGTCAATAAACTGCTGCATGTATTTCCAAATTTCCTAGAAAACATAAAGAAATGAGGAGTAGCTTCAAGGCCTTTATTATAGACGGAGCAATCCTTTCTTTTACAGTCTAAATATTCTTGAAAGCTCTTATTGAAGAGTTCTTCCTGCTCTGTCTTCCCAAAATTAATAATAAGCTCAAAAAGTTTATTTTTAAGGCCGGTTGTTAGTAAAAAGAATAAAAGAAACGTTGTCTACGGCAGCACGCACTGAGTGTTGTTTGTGTTTTAGACAGAATCCCATTCAAGTGCAAAGTGGACTACAGCCCCCCCTACAGACAAGGTCATGACATTTCACACACGCACACACTATTAGTGGCTTTTCACCTCAGATTGGCAGCCAGACTGGACACCTGGCTAGACAGCTCGCTGCTCTGTTTGTCCACGCCCCACATGCTGTGGACGAGAGGAGAGAACACACTTCAAGGCTCTGGTGTTCACGCTACCAAACCCCAACCCAGCTCACACAGCTCTTCAGTCACACCCACACCGCACTGATATAATCCAGTCCAGATGCTGCTTATTAAGGGAGAAAAACAGTGAAACCATCTGCTTAACTTGATAACAGTTTCTCTAAATCACTGCATTTCCTCCATATTGAAAATAGCATCATACTGTGCATGCAAGTCCCGAATTACATCGAAATTACATTTAATTATTCCCCCTACGTTCCTACGCAGAAGATCTAACATCTTCACATGAGGCAAAGTCTGACTGAATGTTTTCATGAAGGACGAGCCAAAGTTGTGCTGACAAACAAATGCGGGCAGGTTTGTTTCCTAAAATGAGGAACCATTCACATCAGGACCGAGGAACTGTGGCGATTCTTTAAAACAGTTTCTCACTTCCTATAAATTTTCAGGTTGACTGACAAAATAGTTTACCAAGGATCGAAATCCTTTTTGTGTTTCCCTCCTGAGCTGAGGGAAACCAAAGCTGAATTAAACCTATAGAGACAGAGTGCATTTAGGTCCTACCATCACACAGCTAACCTGTGAATTTGTATTTAGTGAAGGTGCCTCCACCAAGAAGAGTTCAGTGACCCAGACTAAGACTGTAAAAACCGCATAACATCAACAGTCAACCTTCATTTAGCCTACGTATGTGACATCAGAGTGACGTGTAGTTATATTTTTTAGGGAAGCTACTACGGAGGGTATCAGAAAGGTTTGGAGTTACAATGTTGCCACAGCTCAGATTTAACGCAGCTCTAACCCACTGTTAGTACACAGACACCACTTTGTCGCTGATTGGTTAAATATCTAAACATCACTTTGTCATCGCTATGATTTTTAAATGAAGCTAAAGGATTGTGTCAGTTTGTAAACTGTGGGTAACTCAGAAGGCTGTAACGTTATGTCTGCAATGAAATGCCTACACACACTCGACAGTTTTAGCATCTTTATAAGGTGAATATAGCCTCGCTATGAATCCTGGATTTAATCCATTTGGGTAGAACAAGTCTGATGAATGTAGACTCTACGAGGTTAATGCTGAACTGGGATGAAGACAAATGGCTGTTGGCTCTGATAACAGCTGGATGATAGATCATACAAACAACTTTCTGCTGCCAAACTTCAAATAGATTTCATTTTTAACCTTTTTTTTTTTCTGTTCCAAGTTTGGTGCAAATCATCTGACGTTGTGTCATTTTGCTTCTGAGGCAATTAAGTTTTACTTCCATATATTCGATTTAAGTTTGTTTGGTGCTGTCTGGTTGATAAGAATGTGAGTAGATAAACGCTGTGGCAGCAGGGTCATCCTAAGTTTGTCCCACGCTATCTTTGCTTACAAAACTGTTGAACTTTTACCCCTGTACAACGCACAATCACAGTTTTGTAGCCACGGTTGAGGATATTATCCTGATTCTTTCACACTGATCAGCTTTCATCTTGGACAGCATAAAATGTCACAGAAGTTTGCTAACAATAACTCGCCACAGCTAACTAGACAATAACCTAAAAGATTCCTTTGACATAATGAAATTCTATATTTTTGGCCTTTATAACGATATTTTGCAGAATGAAAGGTTGCACTCTGTCTCTGTAGGAAGTAAAACACACAATCCCATTTATAATTATTTACGTAAGACATTGTACTACATTTCACTGTGCACACAGTTTAAAGATGCAGTGACCTGTATTCTTCTTCCAATATAAGGAGTTTGTGTAGCTCTCAGTGTAGCTGGAAGCAGCTTCATCATATTTGTTTTTGATGCTGTGATATTTTTTCTTTATTTGTGTCTCAGCATGGCTCAGGGAAAGTTGTACGCAACAGGGGCAAACAAAGAGACTTATTCAGTGGTCTACAGCCAATAACAGCCAATGACAGGAGCATGACTTCCAGTAAAAGATTCACTTTAACAGGAAAAGTAGTGCCTTTTCAGCCAAGCGAGCCACCTGATGTTTACTAGTCAGTTGAGCGTACATAAACACGCTGCCTAACAAGGTTATTCAGGGGAGCTTTAGTTGACTGAGAACCGTGTGGGTGATAAAGGGTTTCGATAATAATAATTATCTGATAGTTGTGTCATTTTGTTTCCACTGTGAGGCAATAAAACCACTTCTTCATTCCACGTAATGTTTGTTTTTTTTAATCAACCCAGAAAAAGCCGAACAGTGTTCAGACTGATGTTATGAGAAGGCTGAGATGGTGAGATGCTGGTGAGAGACCAGATCGCTAAAAAAAAGGATGTGGATTGCTTGCATATAAAGGTCATGGTATGGATATCATGCAAGCTAAATGGGAGAGTCTGTAGATTCAGTACATCAGCATTAAAAGGGTTAGAGAGGCATTACAGGAACGTCTCAGCTGCCACCGTCTCTGGACCTGAGTGCAGGTTCAACTGCTGAAGATGAAGAGCAGACTTACACCAAGTTGCTGAGTGATGCTAAGTTAAGCTGCTGCTGTGTTTGCTGTTGCTGCTGCTGCTGACTTGGCTGGGAAACCGTCTGCTGCTGCCATGTGGACACGCCGGTGGGCAGCAAGCCTCCTGGTGACGCCAGAGCGTGTAGAGCAGTGATGTCCGCGCTGGTCAGCTGGTACTCTGAGAGGGGGCAAAGGTCACAGCAGGAATTCAAAATAGATTTCTTCTTTAAGCTATCAGGGTGAATAATTACATAAACTTGTTATTTAATTATTAAACTCTGTTTCATCTAAAAAGGATATTGCTGCTGCCAAAGCTCTCGTGTTGAGTTCACCTGTGTTGTACGCTGTAGGCATGGCGGAGAAGGGCAGCCCCTGTGCCAGGAGGCTCGGTGTGGCTACAGAGACCACTGGCGTGGTGAGAGTTTGAGCTCCAGCTGCCAGTCGCTGGGCGTTCTGCCAAAGAGGACCACAGCATGTTAGTGAGAGCAGGACAGAAAGGATCAAAACTTCCACATGTGACCCAAAGGAGTCAAGACTTATTTTTTGTTTAATGTACACTCTGACATGCTGGGAATGACGATGTGCACATGGCTGGATTCATAATGGCGTTCCACATGGAGTAAATCTCAGAGTTAAGTGTGGATTTACTGTCGGGACGTTCTTGATGACATGCATCAAAAACACTTTCATTGTTCTCGGTGATTTATAGAATTACATTAAAGGCACATTGTTCAACCCTCAGTTGCCACATTTTATTCAAATTAAGCTTCCACGAATATTAATGATAATTACCAAAATGTAAATCAGATCAATTAACTAGATAAAAGATTATGTGAAAGTAAAACCTCCCAAGCAGATCGACTCTGACGAGACACAGACTCTGTAGAAATTCAATATTTTATCAATGCATTTTTAAAAAACATCAACAGATTTAAAATATTTTAGCAAAATTTGGATCCATCTCGTCTCATTTTTTTTCATTTACTGTTCTATTTGGTGCTCTTTGTTTTTATGTAAAAACCTACACAAATATGTTCAATAAAAATTATACAATCACTGTTTAAGTTTAATATGGCTTATCTGGATATAAACATCCACAGTGATGTGAAAAAGTTTGAATAGGAGTTATTTTATCAGCTCTGTGATAAAATAAGTACACCCCATGGTTCAGTCGCTTCTAGCAGGAATAGCTTGAACTAATAGTTTTCTGTATGACTTTATCAGTCTCTCAAATGATCGTGGAGGAATTTTGGCCCACTCTCCATTACAAGACTGCTTCAGTTCACTGAAGTTTGCAGGCATCCAGAATATTTTGGTATACAGAGGATTTCACTGGGCTCAATGACTGCAAGGTGCCCAGGTCCTGTGGCTACATAAAGAGCCCAAATCCTCACCCCTCCACCGCCGTGCTTGACAGCTGGTATGGGGTGTTTGTGCTGATATTCTGTTTTGCAGTCTTGCAGTTTGTTCAGATGCAGCTTTGCAAACCTAAGCTGTGCTGCCACGTTCTTCCTGGAGAGAAGAAGATGTCTTATGTTAACCCTCCCAAACAAGCCATGCTCATTCTGTCTTTTTCTTATTCTAATGTCATGAACTTTAACATGTAACATGCTAACTAAGGAAGCATTGAGGGTGTACTTAGTTTTTCACATGGCAGAAACTCCTCCCAGTCTGTATCATCTGCACGTATTTGCCATATTTTCTTGATAAATCAAGATTTGTTTTGATTTAAAAAGGTCAAAAGCGATAAAAGTACATCACAGGGTTTTGCAGCCAAAATGGCTATTTGATTTCTTCATTCAGTTTACCATCGTATTCATACATACAGTTGCTCACTGTGTTTTTGGCCTTTCGATTTAAAAAAATGGCATAAACATTTAATAGGAAATAAAATCTCCCATTTCAATTTTAATATCATCTACTGTGCATATAGTGTGTTTTAATTTTAAATGGTAAATTTCAGAATAAACTCTCCAGTCTCACTATAATAAACTACAAACGGGTGACGTTATCTGCAGCTATCGTGAAGCTGATCCTGTTTGCCTCAATGCAGAGCTCATCTCATGATTCTCCAGTGGATGTCAGTAAAGGTTTGCAGTGCGCTGCGAGAGTGGTAAAGCATCCTGTTTATGTTTCTATCACTCAGTTTTATAGGAGCCACGGAGATGACTGTTTGCACATCCAGTCACCCATTTACATGACAAGATATTCAGTGTTTCTCCAACACAGGTGCCACAGTCACACTGCTAAATCTGTGGAACTGCTGCCCTGAGGTTTTATTATTATTATGTACACTCGCTGAAACACACAAATCTGTGAAGAAACACAACCCTCCAGAGTCAGGTTGAGCTGAATTATATCACAGATAAAAGCAGATGGAGGTTTTTAACAGAAGGAAATAATAAAAGGTTTGCGAATAAAAGGCCAAAGACGCAGTAATTCAGGTCTGGAATTACTCTTCTCGATGCTGAGGCTCATCATCCGGAGAGGAAACATTCGGACAGAGTTATGACTGCAACGCTGAATTTACACAGAGAGAGAGAAGAGACAGACCGGACAGAGGAGCCGGATTCAATTATCTGCCTTTGTGAAGAAGTGAGGAGGAGCGGCGAGGTGAGAGCGATGAAAATTAATCACTCTTCTCTGGAAAATGAGAATCTTGCCTGTCAACTTTGGGAGGAATTGTGAAAGAGGGGGAACGGCAGCAGCCACCACCACCATCAGCAGCAACCATCATCTCTCTCTGTGTAAACTCAGCTTAAATCAAAGGCAGATTTTTTAGAATAACAAGAAAATTCAATGTTTTCTTCCCCCCAGTATTATTAAAAGTGGGATAAGTATTTTTTCTGTCTCACAAATATTCAATGAAAGTAAAATGTTGCTATAACATTTTTTTTTGTCTCAAATAATAATCCTGCCCATGAATAGTCAGAAAACAGTGGAATAATAGCTTGTTTTCAACAAATCTCAACACAAAATTGTCCCATTTAAAAAGCCGAAGCCATCGCCTCACAAAAACATAGCTAATTAGCTTTATTTCATCTTAATCATTAATTAATTTGTTATAGTAACACCATAAATACAGAGGTGCACAATCCTAAAATGTTTAAATCCCAGTGTTTCAGAGCTAAATATGCATACGTGACAGAGGAAATGCCTTTAATGTAATGCCAGTTAGTTCTTAAACATCTGTACTTCACACAGTTTTTGGAGGATGGTGGAATGAGTCGGTGTGAGTGTCAGTGAGCAGGGAGCATGCTCCGTGGTGCCTCGAGAAGACATCCATGCTTTTAAAGTGGCATCGTATGATGAAGTAAATGGACCTGCATGGTTCAAAAACTTACAGGAGCACATTACAGTATGACACTTCTGCTGAAACAAAACTGATTCATGTGAAGGTCTGAATCACTTGAGTATTTCTAGATCACTGACAGGTTTATGAGCCCACGACTAAAGAAATGCTGGAACAACACATCCATGAGCCCTGAACCACATGCAGTCAGGTGGGAACCACAAACTGAAAGACTATCCCAAGAAATGTGAGTGGAGCAAGACCAGAACAATGTGAAACTCCTATAAGAGAACTGCATCCATGCTATTAATGTGCCATCGACTCATGCGAGTGACTGACGTGGGGGAAATCACCTCGTTTACCAATTCCAGCTCATCCTCTGTCTGCAAAGGGTGGTAACAGAGAGGGTTACAACTCTGGGGTAATTAAAAAAGATATATGGAACAACAATGAAACTACTTACTGTAGTCTGGCAGCTACTTCACTGGTGGCTTGCTTAACAATGACATACTTGCAGTCTGATTATGAAATGTGCGGCGGTGCCATCACTCTGCCTGCCTACAGTCATTAGAAATGTAATGACTGGTCTCACTAATCTGGAGCTTTCGTTCACACAATCGCCCTCAGCCGTTACAGTGTCAACATATTTATCACTTTGTACCGAGCTAAGAGAAAACAGGAAAAGCTGCAGGAAATGTGAAGTAGTACAGCAGCAAAAAATCTTTAATACTGCTGGGTAGCAGAGGCTGCTTTCTGCTCTTAAAACACCAGCAGTTCGTGCATGTTTATCTTGTAGCTGTGTAGGTTTTCAGTCATCCAGGGCAGGGTAGTCTTAAAGCTTGAAAATAAGGCAATTGTACTGTAGATGTTGTACCTCTCATCCAAGAGGCTCCTTCAGTTCAGTTCAACACTTTGGACGGAGAACCTATCGGTCTCATGGTGGATTCACCTGAAATCTCTGGTGGTAATGACCCATGCCTTTTTTCATACCCTGGGTCATGTGGTGACGCTCATGATCAATAGTGGGTCAATGACCACCTGAGGGACAAGCACGCAAGGGTTTAAAATGTCTGAGACTCTCCACTTTTTTGGTTTTAGATCTGAAGAAAGTGAAATGTTTTTAAAAACTTATAGAAGTACAGTCCCCTTATTTTTAAGTTCTTAAGACCACGTTTATGTTACTCAAGGACAGCTAATAAATGGACCTCGCTGTTGAAATGAACTTTAAGTCCTCGATGAAACCAAGACTGTTTTTTGTTAGCACAGACACTGCTGAACATGCCTCCAAGAAACGTGGGTGCACGCTTGGTTCAGGAAAAGAGAGGAGAGAAATCTCATCGGTGTGTCGGTGGGAGTAGGCTGATTCAACACGACTTTACTCACTTTCCTAGACTAAATAATGAGAAGAGTTGAGCACAAAAACTCTTCCCCCAGGTCTTTACTAAAGCACAAAACTGATGGCAAGCATTCCTCTATAACAGACTGTTTATCTTCTGTGTAATTCTTGAATTTCATTCAACACATCAATATGAATTCCCAGAGTTTTGTATGGTTTTCCATCTCACTCACAAAACTTTCCTGAGATAAGAAATGAAAATAATCCTCCCGTGGTCCTGAAATAATCCTTCAGATTCATCGTTTGTCTTTGCTTCAACATCGCGGGTAACTTTAGTGAAGGCAGGAGGTGTTATGCTGCTCGTTAAAGGATCGAAGCGTTAAAGAAACCGACCCAGACAACACAAGTTCGGCTTAGTTAAGCTCACCATCTGCATGAGGCTCTTTCCGCCCTGTGAGGTGATGACTCGGAGGTCTGGCTTGCGGCTGTTGACCATCTGGGGGCTCGGAGGTGGGGGTGGAGACTTGGCCGGAACTAGTTTCCCCAGACTGTTGCCGTTGGAAACGGTGAGGAGGCCTGGGGAGGCCCTGGCACTGGTGTATCCATTAGCTGCGGGGAGACGGAGGTGTGAATGGACAGAAATCAATAGGAAAATCAAACAGGTGAAAGCAGACGGCGGGGTACAGACGGTGTGCCCCCTCAACGATGGCTTACATAATCCTCCCAAAGGTTTCTTTGTTAAACAGTTTTTCAAAGACGTGCAAACAGAACCAAGGAGTAAAAGCCCTCTAATGTTACAGATTATTGGATATGTTGAGGCAAATGTGCTCTAGTACTAATAAATAAAAGATTGGACATTTTTAATCTAGAAATCCAATATAAAGTAAGTAAATGAAAACGTTTTCCTGGTGCAGGCTTGAAATAAAGAACTAAGGCATGTGCCAGGCTGACTGCATTCCCCGCAGGAAGTGCTGGGAATCCCATGCATTTCTGTTGTTACTGGTGGCTTCCCCTGATCCCTGTGAGATACAATCACAGACGGTGCAGAGGAGGAGAGCAGGAACGAATACTCCCAATACAGACCGGATAACAGAAGGACGATCTGTGGTGAAAAACAACAAATAAGTGGAAGATAGCGCTCAGATATTTTAATACTCACGGACTGGACTTGGACATCCTCCATTTGAATTATTCAGGTCGCCTCCAAGAAGAGCGCCTATTGATAAAAGCTTAAATTAATAGAAATGTTGGGACTTAAGAACAAGAACATCACTTTAAGGTTCGGCAGTGGAAGAAAAGGTAATACATGGAGTTCTCAGTGATTTCTAATGCAACAAAAGCCTCAAAATATGAGAGAACTGCCTTTTGTTCTCACATAACATTTTACCACAGTGGACATTTTAATCTTTTGTACTTTGAAAAAGACCCCAGCTCATGCATACACTGTATACTATATGCACCCTATTTGTTTCTTTGTTTTATCTTAAATATTGACTTATACACAGTTGTTCATTCCCTCCTCAGGTTTCAGCTCCAGCCAGTGCTGCACATGCATTATGTCACCATGCATTTCATTACACAAACTGTATGAGTATATCCAAAAAAAGGACTTTAAATTGAGTATAATCTAAATAAATATTAACTCCAGGTCTCCCCTGCATGCATCAACTAATCAACTAAAATTTAATATAAACGTGAAAAAAAAAAAGTGTAAGTGAAGTGTAGCGAATGTCACACAGAGCAAATTAGTCCAGAGGAGAGCGGCATGCATTTCTCCCCGAGGAATGAAGCAGCTTATTATGCATAATGATATGGAGCTGCATGCTTCCAGTGTCTGCTATAGTCTCTGATTACCTGACAGTGTCGCCTTGCTTGATTTTGTAATTATCTCTGCTATTAACTAATAAAGGCCAACGTTTACTTGTGTTTACAAAGAATTCAAAATGAATCCTATGGGGGTACAAACATGGATAATTTTTTGTCATCTTTCTTTTTTTAAACAACTTCTTTTGTTTTAGATCAAACACACTGAAAAAACATGAGCAACTTAAAAAAGTCATGTTCGTGTAAAAGTAGAAAAATCCCTGCGCTGAAGACTGTTTACTGTCTTTTGCTGGTCTACAGGCCATTCCTCATCTCGCTCACCTGCACTGGCTGGTCGCTGTGGCAACCCAGGAGACACCGTATTTCTCTGAAGAGCCGGTTGCTGTGGCGACAGGAGGTGGGTATCCGTGAGCGATGATGATGTTACATAGGAGGTAGTTACCAGTGCGCTGCCAGGGTTGCTGAACTGCAGTGTGCTTTGATTGGATGCCTGGACGGTGACCGGCATGGAGAACGTCTGAGGCGGAGCTGTTGACTGCTGCGAAATTAAGAAAACGTCACTTTTAGTCCCACTGCGCGACATTACCGCACTACTTCGGTAACAATCAGAACATTACCTAGATTTAGCCTCACGCTACTTTTTTGGAATTAAAAAAAATGTGGTAAAACTGGCAGGTTGTGTACTTTACAGCTTCAACTAACAAACTACACGATCGTTTACAAATATAAAAGCATGTAATGGAAAAAACTGTCTCCAGAGTTTTAGTCATCTCATTTGTAAAAGATCAAATCTAATTTCAAAGAAAAATTAGGCACTGTAATACCTATTTTTTTATTATAATACGGTAAAATTAAGACGTATTGTCATGCTCCAAATAGGTGCACATAATATATGAATATGGGTCTACAGGCATTTCCTTATTTCACCATTGTGGAAGAAGCACGACTGAAAACCGTTGCCGTATGACATATTGTGAAGTGGAGAAGTTTTAATATTGAAGGACCCACACTGGCTTGTGTGGGTCCTTCAATGTTATAAAATATTATTTTAAGTTATTGTTTAAGTTATTATTGTAAGTTAAAAAGTAAAGAAAAACAAGTCAAAATATAATTATTAAAGAGTAAAAAAAATGCAAATATAAACCTGTCATTGCTCTCTGTTTGATGAACATCAGAATAACAACCTTTATTTCTTTCACTTTCACAAAAAAGTAACATTAGAAAATTATAAATAGATAAAATGACATTAAAACCACGATATAAAAGCCAATATACAAGTGTGGGCTTTTAAAAGTTTTTTTAAAACGAGGAACTGATCGTGCTGAGCTAACTTTAAGAGGAAGTTTGTTGGGCTAAAACTGAATGCAGTCCCCCTTTCTATTAACAGTAATCAGTAAAATCTTAATTTGAATTTTGCACTGAATGGGAGGCCAAAGAAATTTTGTGAGGACTGGAGTCATGCATTTGCAGCGCAAAGTGTTTGTGAGTAGTCTTGTACCAAGTGTAGATGCAAAAGTGCTGCATCATTTAAGAATATATACAATGACTTGCAATAATCGAATCAGCAGAAAATCAGAGAGTGGATAAGGTGTTCAGCTGTATTATTCAGAAGTCCTGATCTGACCTTTGTAATATACTAACCCATATAAAGACTGGGCTGAGAGATTTGAAATAACAGTTGAAACTGAGAAGCTTGAAAAAAAAAAAATGAGTAGTTTGCTTTGGGTCAGTTATTAGTTGTCAAAAAAGGGGAATGACACTATTAGTAAGATGTTCAGTACCAATAACAGTTTGGTTTTAAAAAATTAGAAGTCATCCAGTCCTTAATGGCACCAAGGCAGGAATGCAGGCAAGCTACATGTTTGTGTTTTTCTACTAAATAAGACAAGCGAATGTCAATAATCAGCATTACAGAGGTAAGACAGACACAAACTAAAGAAAATAGGTCCAAGGATTGAGCCCTGTGGGACCCAATATGGCATGAGGGTGCAGTAAACAAGGTAAAACTGTCCACAGTGACTCTAGCTGTACCAAATGTAAAATACAAACTGTAATGTTGCCTGAATCTGTGCTCATTAAAATGTCCTTAAAAACTTTACGTAAAGTGGTTTCTGTACTTTTTTTCTAAGACCAGACTGAAATTATTGCCTTTTATTACCCCTAAGAGCTGCCTACTAACCACTTTTTCAAGAATTTTTGAAAGCAGAGGTCATTTGGAAATAGGAAGGTATTTATGCAGTTATGGTGGGTATTAATCAGTTTTCTTTAACTCTTTACCCCTTCAAAGCTGACTAGGAGTAACCTTTGAAGCTCTTTTCTGAACTGAGTGGTTTCATATCTGAGGGCTTCTTATAGAACGAAATGACTGTGTTTGCATCAGACGTTATAGTGAGAGTGAGCTCTGCCTATACAGCTACCACTGGAAACTATTCTAATGTCATCAAACCACATGTTCATTGATAAATACTGAGCTGTCAAACACATTATTACGGGTACAGGGGAGCTCATCAAATGTCATCTTTATGGGGAGAAAGCGTTAACGATCCATGAGGCTATAACATCAAAACCCTGCCTGAACAGCTTATGAAGCAACATGTGAACTTCCACCTTACACGGTGTTGTATTTATGTCTGACACAAATTTGTTCAAATCCAGTAGAGTAATGGGGGTAAATGCAGTAAGGTGAATGGTGGGTGCCAAGGTAGAGAAAGAAAGGAACAAGTGGCACCCAGTGAAGCCTTAAAGTTTATTTTAAGAACTCTCACAAAGTTTACTACTGATGGTAATAAACAGACGTCTCAGTTTATAGATAGCAGTGTTATGCCACTCTCTCAGTTTTTAGCAGACTACTCAGTGAACACCATCAACTCCCTCATATGAAGCTGGTGGACCTGAAAATATGCAATGACACAAGGTTCCTGAATGATTTACAGTTATTACTGCAACTTTTCATTACCTGTTTTGCTTCCACTGATGCATCTGTGGTCAATTAAAAATCATACAACAATAGCAGCCATGTTGATGCAAGTAATCTTTTGTCATTTAAATAAAAGACATGAAGTGCTATCTGCTTTCTTTTGTCTTCAAAATGCCCTTTGTGTGCAAATTTCCTGGCGTGCAGCTGATACAGTGTACAAATGTTATGATCTTAACTCCGATCTATTGACTATAAATGAACATGGTATTATTGTAAAAAGCACAATTATTTAATTGGAGTCTTTAAGCACAAAATATAGGTGAGTATCATCAGCATACAACAGAAAAATACAGAGAACTGAAGGCATGCATGGCCAGAAAAACCAAAAAGCAGTGGTTTTACAGATGTTGAGTTTTAGCCCTCGCTTGTGAATAATATGAGTTAGACTAACTCATTTACTGCCTTCAAAACAATGACCAAACCCCCCCCCAAACAAAAGCTCTTAATAATACCACCATCTCTAACACGAATCAAGCAATCTGCATTTTTTTATAAAGGTCACAGTAAAGTGTAACACAACTCGTTAGAGGAACTTCCTACCAGTAGCAGTTTCCTGTCAGTACTTAAGACAAAGCAGAACAACAACAACAGACAAGTGTTTGACCAATAAGCAGAACAAAGTGCAATATAAAAAAAATGCTGCATGAATTAAGAGAAGACTTAAGTGTGAAGTTTACAAAACTTACTCCGTAGCGTTTGAAGAGAACATCCAGGTCCTCTGTGGTTTTCCGGTATTTGTCATCATTAAGGGGACTTTGGTCGATCGAGTCTTCGCCGTCTGGCTCTGGGCTGTCACAGCCGTTGAAGCCTTTCTTTCTCAAAGTCTGTAAATGTAAAAACTGGGCTTTAGAAGTGAGAAGACATGATACTGCAATCATAGTATGAATCATGAGTTTATCATTTAAAGTGTTTCAGAAAATGTAGGTGGAAGAGAATCAGCTGCCACTGAAAATTATTTGATCACGGTTGTGAAGTCAGAAACACAATTCCCATTAATTATAACTACTTTCTCTATAACACCCCTGAATGAAGGCAGTGACGTGAGACAATGACACTGAGGTGCGCCGGTTACATTGCCTCTGATCACACAAAGATAACACTTCAAATTCTTTCTTCAGAGACTGCATTAAAACAACAGTCACAAAGCCTTTTTCAAGAAGCCCAAGCTTTTAATCTTGTTGGTTTTGTCACATCAAAAACACAAAAGCAAACAGCAAATAAATCAAAATCTGGTGAAATGATGACAATACAGCTAAAAGACCAAAAAAAACCAAATCACTTGTGCAGCATATGGCTACATATTTAACAGATTAAATGGGATATTGCCAGCATTATACAGCTCTTTATGTTTTAAGAGTTGGTGCAACAGTTCAGCCCTGACAGTTTCCATATTATTTAAAATCTAATCAAGGCCTTAGCTTACTCACTTCTGCACAAATGGTGAGGATGCATCGACTAACCTCAATGATATCGGCATTGGTCCGGCTCTCATGCGGCTCATTGTACTCTGTGTATTTGAGCAGGACCTTGTCCATGTCAGTACTGGCATACTGGAACAGTTTGTTCGCATGGTTGAAGATGATCAGGGCAATCTCGCAGTCACACAATACACTCAGCTCGTAGGCTTTCTTCATCAAACCAAACTTTCGCTTTGTGAATGTCACCTGAAAGAAAACAGAAGAAAGGATTTGTAAAAACAGCAGAGGGCAGGGTAAAAAAATCCCAGCGGTTTCTCAGGGTTAAAGCACTATTAACGCTGTAACTCCTATAAAAGACCTTTACACAGGTCTTCTGTGCACCACACGCAAACAGGTCTAGGCCTGCAAAATAAAATGAAATCTTTACAAAGACAAAGTAAGTCTATGACTATTTCAACTGCCTGTAACACAAACACATATTTCACACAGCAGATAGACACATTAGGTAAAAGCACACACAAATAACAGTGTACAAGTGACAACAATAGCAATAACATCATAAATAAAGAGGCATCAATGAAGCATAGTGAGTCAGTTTTCAGCATCGATACTGAAGCATCCTTGTTTTTGTGGCCCTTTATCATCACAATAAATAGCCTTCAGACACTCTGGTTGCTAACAATAAACAGTCAGTAATCATTTTTCCCTGATATGTGTGTGTGTGTGTGTGTGTGTGTGTGTGTATATATATATATATATATATATATATATATATATATATATAACTGTTTACAAACAGTTTTGATATTTGTTGATATTTTTAGCCTAACATTTATTCACTGCTTCTGCTATAATTAGATGTGGTCTAAGTTGAACTAGAGATGCACACTTTGGCATAAATACTGCAGGTCATAAACTTTTTCCTATATTGTGTTATTTTTTTATTTGTTTCCCAACTGACTGTGAATCAGTTGGTCAGTGTTGAGATGCATAGATTGTGCAACTGAATGCTCAGTCATTTCTGTGCTTCATGGTGACCTGTTTTATATTTAATATCTATATTTAGAAAGGTCACTAATTCAACTCCAGCACGAGACAAAAAAAAAAAATTAAAAAAAATCCCCTTTTGCATCAGGAAGGGCATCTGGATCAAACTCTGCTAAAAAAGAGATGTGAAGAGATGTGGTGTTTAAATGTGACAAGGGAGCAGGTGAAAGTAGCTTTACCTAACCCGGAGGTAACCTACAGAGCTGAAGTTAAGTACTAATAACTACAGTTCCTCTAGTGGCCCCTTTAGAAAGGCTCCAAAAGCAGGACAATCCCCTACAGACGCCTGTTTTAAAACTGTAAAGCTTGTATGAAATTTTTTACATTATATTAACAGATTTTCTTTCTTTTTGGACCCCCCCTCCCATCCTTTTAGATTTTGTTATGACCTAAAGTTAAAGGCGTGGCCATTTTGCCTGACAGGTTTGCCGACGCAGGCAACAGTAGCCGGCAGCTGCAACACCAACAGACAGCAGGAAGTGACAAGCAAGGGGTGGATCAGACTGACATTCTGGATAACTCCGATATTAACCAGAATTAACAAAAACAGCTCTGTTCTTTTTAACATGACCTGAAAACAGCGTCTTAGGCCATAAAGTCATCTCAGAGCAACGGGAAACTAAACCTATTTTCCCATCTTTTTCCAACCAGGAGTCACCCCCCCTGCTGGCCGCTAAAAAGAATCCAGGTTTAAGGCACTTGGGTTTTGCCTTCACATTTCAGATCAGTCCATCGTTTTTACACTCTATGGCTAGCCCTGGCCTTGGCCAATTCCAGCCTCTGAAATTGGCCTCTCCATTGTCACACATTATCTGAAAAGGTTTCAGGGTCTGTTATGTCCACAAAGTCTGGGCTGGAGGGCATGAGAACGTCAAACATTTTTGTAGATTAAAGAGAGAAGAAATTAAAAGTACAGAATTCAAATTACAGCTACCGTCCGACCTGGCAGAAACGATCTTCTGAAAAGACAAATCAATGCAGCGATTTTTAAATTTGGTCTTCGAGCAAAATGTCTTGGAGGCATCAGTTGTGGAAAAAATGAGCTTGAAGATTGCCAAAGAAAAAAAAAAAAAAGCATGAGGCAAAATATTCTGTGGTGTGATGAAAACAAAACTGAAGTTTTCAGTTGTCATACAAAGCATTCTGTTTGGCAGGAATCACCTCATCACTCATCCAGCACCATCATTACTGTGAAGTGGAGTGGCAGCCTCATGCAGTGAGAAGAGAAAGGAAGCAAATGGAGCTGAAAAGGCAGATTTTGGGGTACAGCCTGATTTAGTACTTGAGACCTTTCATTGCAGGACTTGAATGTGGACGCCAAACAACATCACAAAGCTGTGTGGGGCCAGCCCAAAATCATGACCTTACTGCCATTTGAAATCTGTGACATCTAGACAGCTATGTTGACCCTGTAAAACTGTCCCAGCGCCTACTAGCAGTAAACAGCTCTAATCATGTTATAATATGCAAGTTTTTGGTTTCTTTTTGTTTCGCATGCTGAACCTTTCTATGACCACACAACGTTCACCACTTTTGGCAATAAAACATGGAGTTTTTTTGTTTAAGATCAGATCAGTCCTCACAAAGTACTGTCCGGAGAACACCATTTTTGGATTAAACAGCTCACAGAATAAAACACTATTATAAAACAGTATTGTATAATACCTAAAACAGATGGATTTCTAAATAAAGCCTCACTGGGCTCTCGTCTTTTGAGTCAACCATTAAAATTAATATTGGCTGTATTTTAGAACACTTCACAAGTGATTTTTCAAAGGAAACAAAAATGGGGTGACCCGGTGCGTTTGCTTTACCTATAATAAAAAAATGTAGTAATCTGCAACCATGTGCACTCTTTACTTGTAAGTGAGCTTATCACTGGTTACACTATGTTTTATTAACTCATTGATTAAACTAGGTTTGGTTTTTTTTATCTGAACTTTTAAGCAAATTTGGCTGAGATGTCACTTTATGATTACAAGAAAAACTGCCTCAGCTGATGAAAGTCACGTCATGTGATCAAAAGCTCCAGAACAGCTTTTGAAGAGACTTTTAATAAACAAATTTTTCAGAAATTGCTCATTTTTTCCCTTCCTCTTTTCATACAGATCTCCCTTTTTACATGTTTTACATATCATCATACTAACCAAAGCAGGGACAGGCAACAAGCGCCAAATGTCACTGATAAAGTGCACTGAAGCGTACGAAGCAAACACGATGTGTTGCTGAGAAAAAACAAAGGACGCAAGTAAGAAAAGCAGTCACAATTAGAACCATGAGAACTAAGAAAATTGCACATAACTCCTGACCACACGGGTGATTAAAGCTCTTAATTAACTGGCTGACAGCTCTGCTCCATTTATATGGAAAAAAGTGTCCTCCTTCTTAGTGGATTTAGCAGAAAAGTAAGCTTTTAATATGACATTTGAATTTGTAGATCAGGCGCAAATCTCAGCACATGCAGAGTCAGAGCCAAAAGTAACAAAAACGAGAACCTTATTTTGAAATAACGCCTTAACTCTGGAGGTTAATGCTCAAGCTGGAGCTGTGTGCTTTAAAAATCGGATATGTATCACAGTGTTACATACAGACAAATGCACCGAGGTTCAATCTGCAGTCTCTTCAATGACTCATTTCAGCAGATTAAACGAGCAACCAAATAAATAATTAAGCCTCACCTGCTTGTTCCTTTCATCGGTGATCCTTTGGATCTGAATCTTTTTCCTACCCATGATGCTTTGTTGTGATGAAGACAAATGTTGCAGTCAGTCAAGTGCAGAAGTGCCTCTCGGAAGGTGAGAGAGGAAGTGCAGCCACAAAACACTGAGATGCGGTCATGCACTCGAGGACACGCACAGACACATTTCTCTGTCCAGTGTGGCGAGGCAACGTGGTCGACTCCTTCAACGAGCGGGTGCTGCGGAGACGCTTGAGGTTGAGATGGTTCTCAGTTCGTCATTTGTTCAACGGGGACTAAAGTGACAAACTTACCCCCCAGCTGCTGTGGTGAGGATGACGACACTCCTCTCCTGTGAAAAGTAAAGAGACAAAGACATTACTGGAAGGTTCTTTATGTATGACACAAACAGAGGAAAGGAAAACAATGGATATCTAATGGTGGGAATCATGCAATCAGAAATCAGTAAGTTATCATTCACTTGTGTGAAAAAAATAATGACTAACCCCACTTGTTCAACTGTAATTAACCTGAAAACAACTGAGGAAACAATGCTGTCTGATTATGAGGCCAGGGGGCACCAAGCGACACACGACACCACCGCGATGGGTTAAATTCATCGGCTGCCATTGTCTCAATCTCTTCAGGCAAAGCATTAAAAATATGAAAAGGCGTTCAAGCTCAGAAAATGTTCCCAGAGATTGAATTTGATGATGAGATTTGGATTTTTTGTCATCCTTAGTGTTAAGTAACAGCTAACAGATCAGGTCTAAGATAGGCCGGATGTTTTGTGTTTTGTTTACACTCACTTCAGCAGGTCAAAATGAGAAAGGGATTTATTTTAATTTTAGTCATTGCAATCAAAATTTGTGAATATAAGCAAGCACTAAAGCAAAAAATATGTCCATCCCCCAGTTCCAAAGCAGAAAGAGCTCATTTGTAAATCATTTAAACTTCATATTTAATCAATGACATATTAAACGTGTTAGTACTATCTTAAAGGTTACAAATTTCACGCTGTTATGTTGAAGGCAAAATTGTGCTACATATAGGCTTTGCTCTATTTTTGGTTCTTTATAATTCAACTAATGTTTTCTATGGTCTGAATTAACGCGAGCCAGTTTGGCAATCACATTATTTTGCTAATATAGGCAAGGTCCTCCCTGAAAAATGATGCTCTCTGCAGCAGTTCAAGTTACCCATGCAATATGCACTAAAACCTCCAGCCACAATGGATGCCGGCTTTTGAGCCGTGCGCTGATCAATAATAAGCTGGATGGTCCTTCTTCCCTTGGACCTGGAGGCAGAGCTCATGATTTCCCCCCAAAAAATAAATAAATAAATAAAATTTTGACTGATTAGACCAAATCACAGATTTTCTACTTCCAAAGAGTTAACCCAAGTCACACAGCCTATAGACTGATTAGTGACCCCTTGGTGACCTCTAGTTATTAGGGCCAAAAAATGATTATTCCTCAACCAGTTAGAGAGTGTTGCTGGCAGCCTCATTGTGAAATTGGTTGCAAAGAGGTATATAGTGTTGCACCAAAAACTTCCTTTTGGTTGCTTTGGTCAATAGCACGTTGCCATGGTCACCCTTAGTTTGCAAACTTGTCCAAAAACATTTGTTAACTACTCACGGAGCGGTAGTGAAACTTGAAAAACAGCAGCGCAAGCCCAAAATGATAAGCATTAGCCTTCAAAATAAAAGCTGACGAGTAAGCATTTCCCACGCAAACTACAGGTGATCAAAGCATTTGCAAGGAGGTTTTTGGTGCAGCACTGTATACCTCTTTGCAACCAATTCAACATTATGACTACCAGCAGCCTGCAAATGGCTTTTAATTTCCACTGAAACCACTGAAAGCCCCAAAATCCATGAAGTTATTACTGTTACATTTATCAAAAGGTCACCCGTAGTGACTCGTGGTTTATAAGTGCATAACAAAACAGAACACTAAGGAACCTGTGGTTAATATTTTAAAATCTATTAAACTGTGGTTAATAGAATAAATTCATTCATTCTTAAAACAAATTTAATGCAGTCCTCCAAAGGACTAAAAACGTAAACGTGACGTCAGTCAAGATAATTGTCAGTATGATTTTCTCCAGGATTCAGCCCTTCAGGGTTACTCAGTGACACCATGGAAATAATCAAAGTAATTTTAGTTTGAAGAGCAGGCCTTTGGGCTTATTATCGGCTAATGAAGACATTTACTGGATGGTTTACAAGCCTCTGAAAACTTTATTTTAGTTTTTCTTTCACACACACGTTTAAAAACACATTTTTGGCAGAAATCCTTAACAACTCCACTGTAGCTCTAATCTGCTACTTGGGAAAAACATAGATTTGAGAATGAAGTGACTTGGCACTTTGTGATTGTACCTGGGACACCCGGGGTAATGAGCTTTGTTAAAGGGTCGATCTTATAACAGCTGCAGTACTTACAAATATTTAACTGCTTATGTATTTACAAATACATAAGCAGTTGGCCACTTTTACTTTGCATGATAATGAGTTAAAAGTCATTAAGAGTCACATACTGCACAGGTGCACTTATCCTATCTGCAGCGAGAGCTTTTAATTAATCTATATTACATTCGGGATGCACAATTAATCATTCATTAATCACAGTTTTAGCAAGAACATTTCATTAAACTCAGTCAGGTGCAATGCTGATGCTTTGCATTTATGGGAGCTGCCTGGTGTGGTACATTAAATCAAGCGCTACCCTGAGCTGAAAGGAAAATTTGTTTTGTCTATTAATTAGTGGAAGGACAGAAAATCCTGGTATTTCAGAAAGTGTTGCTTTTCTTTGTGATCTTACTGACAACAACAGACAGTCAATGGACCGAGTTCCAGCAATCTCTGTTATTTTAAAATCTATGTTTTTATGTAATAAAAAATATGTTAAACAGATTTCATCACACCTGTGAAATGGACCCCAAAACTAACCTGTTCTAATCTCCTTACGGGCCTGAAAATTCACAGCAAAACTACTTTTCTTTCCTCAACCAATTTTATCTTCAGCTCACATTTTACTAAACACATTACCTAAACCCCATTCTCTTTCCTACATGTGGGCTCGGCTCTGTGGCAATTGTGTTAAGTTTTCCCTCCAGTCTTGACCCTCTGCATCCGAGCTTTCCTGTGGGACTGTTGTTAGGCCAGACGGAAAAAATGAAAACGCCACTGGAGTGCACATGGGGCTTCCCAAAAAAAATAACCCACATTTTAACAAATGTCCAGACTGAGAATTAACTGGTGAAAACTCAAACCAGAGCTGCACCTATGAATTCATACAAGACGTCCTGATCGTGTAAATAATTAAACTGGTCTTTTTTTTACTTTGTTCGGTCAACTTTGAATTTCTTCTACCGCCACCTGAACCCACAGCAGCTGCTATCATTTCTTTTCCTCAATTTATCCATTATGACTTTTCTGCTCGCCAGCCAACCAATTTTCTCTGGAGATGAAAATAATAATCTCACTGAGCGGGTCAGGTGTGGCCATACAGTGTATTTTCACTATCACTTACATTCATTTAGTCACAGCGGGCTGTGACGTGCCCCCGTACCCGTGTCAGCTCGCATAAAAACGATTCCAATCACTTTTAAATTCTGGCTTATACGGAAGTGTAAGTGTTTTTTTGTTACTCGATATAATGCAGATTCCTCATAGATAAAGATATCAGAAACAGCATCCTTGGTTTTAACACACTCTCAGCTACAAAATTTTAGATGTTTGACTTTTTTGCTTTGTTTTCACTTGATGATCATCTTGTTTGCGCTCGCTTTTTACTTTTGCTTTCACTCACTGGTTAGGTTTAGACAGCAAAAACTATGTTGTCTGGTTGTGTTACAGATTGTGGTCTGAGTTAAAATACAACCCCCTTCACAACACTAGCATTACCAACTGAATAATGATGGTTTGTTTAAGTGTATCGCTCAATAGATTCTATGGTTCGTTATGCACCAATACTAAAAAAGACCCGTAGTGACAAAAAAAAAGGAATTATTTGATGCAATGGAAATGATAACAGCAACTTACAGCAATATATGGAAAATCCACATATAAAAACAGGAAATTAACACTTCTATAACAATCAAACCAATGTGACACATCAGCCTCCAATGTGACATCTTCATATCATCATGCTTTGCGTGACCATCTGAGCTTTTAAAGTCTTTTACAGCAACACCAAAAATCTGCAGCTTTGTGAAGCTGGGAAAACACAGAGTAATTACCAATCAATTAATGGGCTGATTGATTAAGCTGCTAATGAGCTAAATCTTTCCAAGTACCTTATGTGTATAAACAGCAGTAGTGGCTGCCATATCGACACACAGGTTCATCTTATTAGCTGTGAATCCGTTCATGAGTGTACCTACTAGTCTTTAATAGCGTCAGCATCATCATCGTTGTCAAGTCATAAAAAGTGCTCAAAATGTCATGTTTTTGCACGAGTCCTCTGCTCACAAAGCCTGCAGTAATAATAATATTACTATTACTGCTAATATTGGTGTCCTTTATTAAACAACATTTTATGAAGGACCTTTTTAAATACAGGCTAACAACTAATCCAATAACCCTCGAGCCCAAAAAGCTACTTGACACATACAGATGCATGAGCATTAGGTGCTTTGAGTTGTGCTTAGACCGAGCTTTCCGTATATTAAATCTATATCCACAGCAGTGTTAATGGATCACTCAGCGGCTCTAACAATTACCACAACACGACATGTAGAAATATCCCACAGCTAGAGGGGAAAATGATTTTAAAAAATGCTCTTCCCTACTGACTCTGCTAACTTTGGCACTGTCAGGCTACAATATTATCTTTGATTAGTCGTGAATTGACCATAACGGGGCGACGCTGCAAGGCTTCTGTCTAGCCTTCCTCTCCCCGACTGCCCTCTGCATGGCTGCCCCCTCATTATTGTAATTGACACGTTCATCCCTCCTCTTCCCCCTTAAGGCGCGATGGCTCAATTAGGAGGTGGCCGGAGGACTGATTGGACACTGAGATAACGAGATCACCGCTGGGCTAAAACTGAGCCCTGCAGCCAGTCGAACCAATCTCGCTCAGACGCAGGAAGCCAATCAGCCAGAAAAGGCGCAAGTCGATCTAAAAGACACTATTTAAAAAGTCTGTGACAGTGGCAAATGAATGACTTTCAGCTGGACCAGGTGTGCCTCATCATCGTAGGAGGAAAGGCATTTGATCACTCTGGTTAGGAAAAAGAAAAAGAGCCACACATATGTTATTCGAATCATGCAAGTGATGCTTATGCAACCCTTGAATAGTCTCCTAATGAAGGGTGGCGCAATCAAGCTCAGGGTAGGCATCTGCCTGTTTTGGAGTAGTGTAATTAGTGACAGTGACCTTTAGCGGATTACGCACTGCCCAATGAAATGTGCCAAACCCCTGAGATAAATGGTCGGAGCCTCAAACGTGACTAGCAATGGGGTTTGCCCGGCTCCCAGACAAGGATTCAGTACTTGATGGCCTTAATGGCTCAATCTCCCACAGCCAAAAGGTGGATAGAATTGATTTACACTCACAGTTTGTGACTTTGCATCCACCTGACAACATAAGGCAACAACACATTGATTATTAAGGTGCTGCATAGAAAATCTCAGGCAATGGAGAAAAATCTCTTTGTAATTTCTAAAGTAGCATCTTTAGGTTTCATATAGGACCAAGAAAAAAAGCACCATTTAGGGAGCTGAATTCAGGGAGTGTTTCGCATATCTGTCTCCATTTTTTCGTGACTCAACTCCTCAATTAACCACCTAATTGCTTTAGGGCTCCAAGCTTTCCAATTTAAATAAAGCTGTTTTTTTTAACAAGATTTAACTAGACACTGTCATTTTAAAAGCAAAAAAATATTACTAAGGATTCACATATGTTGCCAGTTTAAACCCTTGTGCATTAGGACAGTGTTACACTGTGTCTTCCTATTAAATGAACTTTACCAAACAAGTCAATGTCTGACCTTCCAAAACCTTCCAACTAATATTACTGTTTAAGAGCAAAAAGCATTAGACATGTAAGTAATAAAGTCGTAAGAAGATATAAAGAAATGTCATTACTCTAGCAAATTATGCTTCTAAAGCAAAAACAGCCAAATTTCTTAGACCTGCCTCAAGCCTTAATAAATTCAATGTGATGAGGTGTTATTTGAGTGGAAAATTATTGCAATTTTAATGAGCTTTCAGTTCAAGGCACACTAAACACAAAGGGAAACAAATTAAAACTATCCTTACATGGATGGACTATTTCAGCCAGGTCAGAAGAACAAAACTTGCATGCAATCACTGTGTATTATTATTAAAACTGGAAAATTCCTAGATTTGGATGGATATTGCCTAATTTTATGTGCCACCGTTACCTGTTTGTTTGGTCACATCTTTACCACATCTAGGAGACAAAAGCTTACATTCTGACAGCCCAAAGGGTGCTCATAACCTAAGAGCACGATGCTATCTTAATGATTTGTTGTTGTGAAGAAACTATTTCATTCCGTTCAACTTGGCAACCATTACCAGCATTGTCAGCTTAAATCCTAACCCCGAGGTGGCAACACGCTTCTATATCAATGTTGTTTTCCTCATTTTAATCAGATATTTCACTTGAAGATAGCAAAGTTTTTGGCCCGCCAGCATGTTGATCCTGCTGCCAGGCCAGCAGAGGACCAGGACTGGGAAGCATTTGCAATCCAAATAATAATGTGACATTTTGAAACATTTAAACATGAGGATTTTGTGCTCAATCCACAGCATACAGTACACATCACGATAAACGAGAAATTATGTGTAAAATCTGTGCTGATGGTCAGTGGGGCTGCACTACCGAGGGATGTTGATATGAATCCATCTGCAGGGACGCCTCACAGCGGTGGATCACCCTGTCAAAGTGGCCTACTTATAGCCCAGCAGCACTGGCATCTACCATAGGAGGGCACAGAAAAATCATGGCTGCACGGGCCAGCCTCTCTGCTAAACCACATCAGAGCCCCAATTTCACTGGAATTACGTTTAAGTATTAATAAACAACGCAACAAAAAAGACCACACAAATATGGACATTGTAGTGTGACCACTGATTGTTAGCGCTTTTAAATATTATGTGCATTGTTCTGCACACACGTAAACCAGTGCAGGAAAGTGAAATATATTTTCCCTCGGGCTCCTGTGAAGAGCTAAAAAATAATTTAAAAAATAATAATAAAAAAAAATGCAGCAGCAGGGTGAACAGCTTTGAACAATAGCTCTCCTTTATGTGCACTTGGACTGTTTTCTCCTTAATGGCGTTAAACTAATAACCGTGTGAGATCTGGTATGTGAAGACCACATTAGGTTAAAGTGGATTTTTTCCCCCTTTTTTGTTAACAAAGTGGGTGCAGGAGTCCAAACTGTCTAACCATGATGACAGATGGGAGTCTGGATACTGAGGAGGCCCACTGACGGCAGACAGGTACCCTACAGGATCTAATCTGACATGTTGGAGGCAAAACCTAGTGTCAGATCCTCGGTTCGTGCTTTTTAAAAGCCTAACGCAGCCGTTTAGGACACCATAACTACCGGAGCCAACATGGAAAGCAAAGGACGAGCTAACGTTGCTCTACACAGGCCATTTCACAATTTTCTAGTTACGAGTCCGACCGACAGCCATTACCTTCCTCACTCTCTCCATATAACTCGGCAGGGCGAGCTGGAGTACGCACTACTTTTAATCATATCACGGATATTTCATGTTCACGTGAAGACTGGGTATCTGTGTGATATAACACAGTAGTCTCGCTTATTACTTTTTTGTATTTAAATAATAAAGCAAGCAGGTCTGCACCCGTGTGAAGGAAAAAAGACGCAGGAAGGAAATGTATCACTCCACTTACCCTGAAATATTGCTGATAAACACCGAAAATAGGCCTGCCACTACCGGCTCCAGAGGTGACCCGTGTTAATTAAGAAACATTAATTATGAGCGCTGAAGCGAAGTCTCTATTTACATGAATCCGCGGCATTTTATTCCCTTTAATGTTGATGTAACTATACTATCCACCCAGGCGACACAGCGTACCCAGTGTACGATCGACGTCATTGACATTAGCACGTGATCGACGTGACGCTCGTCCAATTGGGAGCTGACGTGCAAACTTCTCGTCCAATCGCAGACGAGTGGGTCGGTCTGCGGGAGAGGACATGACGGAGGTGACGGCCATGTTCTGCAATAGTGTTGGTATCCCTCCGCCTCAGTATTTACCTTTTGCATGATTTTGCATGTGGGGAAAATGTCACTGTAGCCCCACTGTGCCCTGCCTGCTTTCCATAAGAGAGCCCGCTAGCCCATTTGTTTTTCACGTCTGCAATCAACACAGCCCTGTTAGCGGCGAATAACCGCCTGCTGCGGCATGTGAAGGCTGTCAAAGTGGGAAATGTTGAATGTTGTGAGGCAATTACCGCTTAAATTGTTTTCACCTCAAGTGCTTCTTTTCTAACGGTATACCAGACGCTATGATATCAGACTGGTGAAATGTCCACGTATTGTTTAAGAGTAAATAAAGGGACACGTGGTGAAATCGGTGAGATATATGTGACAATAATATATGTGACATATGTGACAATAAAAGTGATTTGATTTGATTTGATATATACATATATAAAACACCACTTCATAAGGTACACCTGTTCAACTGATTCTTAACACAGATATCTAATTGGGCAGTTACGTGGCAGCAAATGAGTGCATTTAAACATGTACACATGGTCAAGATGACCTGGTGAAGCTGAAATTGAATCACAATGGTGAAGAAATGTGATTTAAGTGACTTTTTTCAATGTGGGGTGGCTGTTGGTGCTAGATGGGCTGTTCTGATTATTTCAAAAGCTGATGAAATGACATCCTGATTTTACAGAGAATGATCAGAAAACATAAAACAGGCTACAATCTGCGCTGCAATTCACAGTTAGACAATTTTCTGTTGCAACATTCAGACAGTAGGTTCAGAATTTGCTATGAAAGTATGAAATCATTCTACCTGTTCAGGCAGCTGATTATCACATTAAGCATCATTTATACACCACAGCGTGAGTAATGTGGCTGACTGTCAGTCCATTGCCACAATGTACCCATCTTCTGATAGCTGCTTCTAGTAAGATAACACACTATGTCACAAAACTCAGATCATCTCAAAGTGGCGTCTTGAACATGAAAATGAGTTCACAGTACTCAAATGGTCTCCACAGTCATAATATGCTGCTGGGATGTGGTGGAACGGGAGATGCACATCATGGATATGCAGCCAACAAATCTGCAGCAGCTGTGTGAGGCTATCACATCATTGTGGACCAGAATCTCTGAGGAGTGTTTCCAGCACCTTGTTGAATCCATGTGTGCCTAATAAAGTGTCCAGTGAGTGTATAGACTACATATTATAGCCCAGCACACATGCACTAGTGCATATATTTATAATGTGTAAGAAGTGTACACATAATAAATTATCCATTGGAAAGAAAAGGACTTCTGTGTGCAGAGTAATTTCTGGTGTACAGTATTACAGGGCAAAGCTGACACGTTAGCGGGCCGAGGGGCCTCATCACCTTTGAGTACCTATGTCAGTCCCCCAGCCAATCTCCACACTTCTTCACAACATAAGCATGGCATTGAATGTTTTCATACTGAGTTCTAACAAAAGACAGTATAAGATGTGGACATAGCCACTGTGATTCACCTGTTGGTTTGTGAAGTCCAGTTATTAAGCCTCCACAGTGGATCTGAAAAGTCATTGGCTAATGACTTGTGATTGACAAGGCATTAGCCAGTGGGCATATCCTGGATAATTTACAAAATGGACTTCATGTTTTATTCAAAATGATTCAAAACTGACTGCGTTCTGTGTTACTGAGATCACAGAGGAAGGGAACTAAGAGGACCTCTGCATAAGTATTTTTGCAACCGCAAGTGTCGCCCCCTGGGAGCAACTTAAAAGAATGCAGGTCTAAGGCACTTCAGCATTGGTTTTATTTTCAGAGCCAGGAGTCATACATCTTTTATACTGTCACAGGGCCCCTCAATAATACTCAGCGCTCTTGCTATTTCAGTTCTTTAGAGATGCATATTTCTGAATTAAATGTCAGTTAATCAAATTACCACAAAGTCATTGCTAAGCAATGCAAGCCTCCTGGGCTCCCTGCGCAGCAGCTGTCCACTTTCCATTTAAAGCCCTGAATACTTATTAGAGCATTCTTTGCACTGCAAAGGACTCTCGCATTCCCTGCACAGATACTATATGGTCTACAGACCTTTGAATGTATACACGTTGCTTGAATTTTGCTTATATTTTTTTTTAATTTTAGTTGTTTTACTGTGGCACCTTCAAAGAGAAAGCCTCTGTTACACATGGGGTTTGAATCATAATGACTACGCACTTTGTTACATAAAAGTAAAAATCCTCTGTGCTGACTTTGACAGGTGTAAAACAGCTTACTACCATGCCCAGCTTCATTTAAATGAGTTCTGCAGGCAGCAAGCAACAGCAGCTTGTTAGCTTGCTGGCAGCCGTATCCATCCTGTTCTTGTCAATGAAAAATCCTGACAGGCTCTTTAAGTAAGTCTTTCAGAACAGATAAGGAGAAACCTACTATTCTTGACATGTTACTGCGGTTGAGCCTTTTAAAAGAGGACTACATTTGAAAATATATAACAGAAGTGCCGCTGCATTATAACTTTACACAAGCACTGGTGTCTGGTTGGATGATGATGAAGCTGTCTTGGTCTCTACCTTTGCTCTCAAGGAAGAACTGAAAACACGAAAGCTAGCGCTGTAAGAGAATCTGTAACGTTTTTACTGGCGGAGCGATTCAGAGGTGACATAAACAGCACATAAACATCGAACAGAGGTAGGAGGAGGTCAGCAGAAGCTCATTTGCAAATTTTCGCCCTGGGGCCTACAAATGTGTTAACCCAGTCATGGCAGTTGGCAAATATATATGCTGCCAGTGGCAAACCAGTGGGTGAGGTTCATCCTGTAAGTCAGATCACATTGATGTGCATGCGGATCTCTAGAGAGTAAAAAAAATCTGCATTTCTACTAATGTGCTGCCCACATCTTTCTTCTTCTTCTTTCCTTTGCCTTTCTAGGCAAACTCATGTCCTAGTTTAAGAACATATGCTGTATCAGACACAGTGCTGAGGCACTACAGGGAATAGAGGATGACAGAGATAAAACAACTGACACCTTGGAAATATGCCTCATAAACGACATTTTGGATTAGAAACACAGTATCAAAGGCTGAGATAAATTGTTCAACTCAAAGCCATAAACTTCAAACAAGCATCACGCTCAGATCTAACAAGAACCAGTACAGACCTGACCATCACTATGGACAAGGAGAAAAGCAGAAGAGCTGTGCCGCAGGAGGATGAGAGAGCCCAAGTCGAATGGAGAAAAGACAGCATGTTAATGGACTTAAATCCACCAAGAAAAGCAGAAAGGGGGTTGCAGGAATCCTGTGATGACCTGCAGCTTTTGAGGAGCACATAGAAGCTACCTGGATAATGCAGAAGCTCAAGGTCTGCAGCATAACAGTGTCCAGAGACAGATGTAAGAAATGAAATGCAGTGCAGAGGGCAGAGAGATCTGGCTGCATGAGAAGGAAAGATTCAGAAGTAGAAAGGCTTTGGACTCCAAAAGAAGTTAAAAAAAAACAAAACATGTAGGCATCCGTTAAATATCCGATAGTAGCTAAGGAAAGCTTAGATTAACTGTTTGAACTTTTTGTTACAGTGGCTGCACATTCACTGGTAGAGCAGGTTAATTGTTTGGATGCTTGTTTGATCCTCCAGCTTCTGCTCTGCAAGTGTCCTTGAGCCTAAATCGAATGTGTGGTTATAAATCCATGAGTTTTCAGCAAATATTTGAGCGTGCGCACAGTGCAGTACACGCTGTAAACAAGCCATAGTGTTCACATGTGCAACCTGAGCAAAGGCCACCATAACAAGGCAGCCTATTGTTTGACAAGCGCGTCTCCATATATATAATCTGAGTTTACCGGAGGGGGTCATCTTATCCCATCAGCATGCCTGGAAATGTGCTTTACTTTCACTGCGGTAATGACAAAAACAAGCCAAAGTGCTCTCCATGCAGGTCTGCCCCACTCCGCCGCCCACACGCACACATACACACACCTCTCTCCCTCCCACACACACTCCACTCTGCCATCATGTTACTCTTTCATGATTTCATTTCAGCATGGAGGCTATTCACAAGGGTATTCTCTAGTACTCGCTATAATTTAGATTGAATTGCTGTGATGAGAAATAGGTGCAATTCTTGGTTCTGTTGCATAGAAATATGAGGTGCCTGTTTTTATGGAAAACAAGACCAATGTAAATATCAACACGCAACCACACCAAGGTTGTTATAGGTGACAAAACTTAACCTAGGGGTGAAAACATTTTAGTCACCTGACACAAAAAAAGATGTCGTTTTAAAAATAGTGTTGTGAAATAAAATAAAATAAAACCACGGTGTAGGTGTCTTTAGATTTATTTTCCATCAGTTTGATCAATTTTGTCAGTACAAAGAAAAATAAAGATTAAAGTCTTGAGCCACCTTTTATTCCTTTATATTTTCCTAGGAAAATGGAAAATGTGCAAACATACATGGACATACTGAATGTACTGCTGTGAAAAAGTATTTGCTTTCCTGATTTCTTAGTGTTTCGCATCATTGTCAGACTTAAATGTTTTACATCACCAAACAATTTTCAATATTAGATCAAGATAACACGAGTAAATACAAAATGCAGTTTTTAAATGATTATTTCATTTATCAAGGAGAAAAAATATCCAAGCCTACCTGGCCCTGTTTGAAAAAGTAGCTGGTCCCCTTGTTAAATTATGAATTAAATGTGACTAACCACATTTTTGGAAAGCAAGGCTCAATTTCTTAGCCACACCCAGAGATTACTGCCAGACCTACTGAATCAATAAGACTCTAAAATAGAACCGGTCTGACAATTGAGGAAAGATCTCAGAAAGAAACACATCATACCATGATCTTAAGAAACAGCTGAGAAACAAAATC